TAAGACACAAATACTTGCAACAATTGAGAGAAGATTTTAGAAAGAGATTTAAATATGAGTATTTATCGCAGTTGATTGCTAGAGGAAAAGATAGTCTATAGGAGTTTAAAAAAAAGCATTTTGTAAATGGTAATAGATATGATGATTTATGTTGATGATATGTATTGAAGAAAAAGAATAATAGGACCCGGTGTAAAGTTTATGTTTAAAATGAACTGCATGTAAATATTATTAATTTTTTTAACTCACAGAATGCTTTATTTCAATATTTCAAACTGAGGTGTAACTTATTTCCTTAAAGTTGGGAAACTCTAAGTGGTGAAAACACTGTTTTGAAATGTCAATGCATAAACAATAAACAAGTCAAGAACTGAATATAGCATAGATAGCAATAATTCATTTTACGCATTATAATTTTTATAAAACGTGACCAATGCTAAAGCAAATGACTTAATTTTAAACATAGGTTACAATAATAAATAAAAAATGAATATTTTTTTTCCATGCATTAAATATTTTTTTAACCAAAAAGCTTGCAGTTTGCAGTTACGACCAATAGATGGCATTTATTAGCAAAAAAAAAGGAAACAATAGCTCCCGCGGGAGTATTTAAATTCTTAATTTAAATGGCATATTATCCAAGTATTCTGTGGGGGTAAAATCTAATTTGTGAACTTCAAGCTGTTTCTAGATATACACCAGTCCATACAGTCCCCTTATAAGGTGTCCGAAACGAATCTAGACTCTATGTTTACAGGTATTGTCATGTATGTTAGGCATTGGGAAAAATCAGGCCATGGAAGGGCACGACAAGGCCGCCAGGCCGCCAGAATTACTTTCAGATTTCAGATATTAATCTAAATGTGTATCTACGAAATGCTCTAAAAGTAATATGGCTTATACGTAGACAGACCAATAGATACAGAAACAGAAAATAGATAAAGCCAGCGATGAACATCATGGCATCCGGTCCCCAGATCGCAAAAAACCAAAGGTGTAAAAAATAAGCAGTTACAACGCATAGACGTCTTAAATAATTATACGTATACTAATAAGAATGTGAAAGTGTTATAGAACAATTATTGTTACACGCAACTCATGTTAAAACATTATTAGGCTATGATATTAATATAACTTATTAATACCTTATTACTTAGAAGTTAACATTAGTAGAAATGCAATCCGGTGTATTCCTGATTACTATTCTATTAATAGATATGTTTAAACAATGATACTGATAATAATGCTCACGCGTAAATGCATATCATATAGGCACTGTAATGTTCCAGTTAAATGTCTCATCCTTTTTTTTTTATAAAATTTCACAAACTTAGATTAATTACATATTGTGTTTTGCCTAAATTGGGTGGGATTAAGTCATACTTTGACTTATGTTTACTGAAGCCCTTATCTACATTTTCAGGTTTAAATATTTTAAAGTACCTACTTACTAAAGTTACTACCGTCAGTCACTTAGATCCAATCTAAACATTGTGCTTAGTAGCCCTGTAGTGAATTTTATTTAGAGAGAGAAAAAGTCTTAAATTACTTTACATATTATCTTGTTGTAAAAGCAAGAGAACTGATAGTTTTATATTTAAACAAATGGAAGATAACACAAAGAGTAAGAGATTATTGAAGTTTCAGAAAAGACATCGCTGTCCGGTTTGTAATATAAGCACAAATTCTGATAGTCAATTCGATCAACATTTGGAAGGCTTTCGTCACCGACATAAAAACATAATTATGTGTAATATACAACACAGAAAACCAGAAAATTACGATTACGATTCGCGGTTTTATGTACCGGCTTTTATTCTCGTTTTTATAACCACCTACTTCTATTGTTATATAATAGTAAAATTAATGTTGTAAATGATAATGTTAGCAAATTATCATAATTCATGGCCATTAAAGTACCTTAAATTTCGCGCCACAATTTTAATTGGCGGAGAAGTCGTCCCCAAGCGTTCACGGCTTCTATGCGCACGAACGAACGCGCAGAACAATGAGGTAGCAGCCATTTTATGTCGGTGTCTAAGAAAAACATAATTCGAATGGCCAATCTTAACGAAATTGTGTAATTAGTGCTCTAATTTATGTGTTTCTGCACAAGCCACCGTTATTAGGTGTTTCTATACTAATGTGAGTAAAATTGAAGTTTTGCTATACATAACGTTAGACAATAAGTATAATGAAACTTAATTTTGCATGTAAATTGAAATTGTAATTAAAAATATGAAATCTATAACTTGTCCCCTCCAAAAAGTATATAATGTGTTAGTATAATCGGCGGATGTACGTATGTATCAGTTCGCGTTGTTTGTTTACAGAAATTAATCTATCTAAGCGATTGCAAAGTGCGTTTTGCACATTTAATTTTACGCTCGGAATATGACATAACTTTCATTACTAACAGTCCAAAAAACCTTTGATATTTGTATTGTTTATATTAGTCTTATTGGTGATTTAATACTGGTTCCGTAACTACCGGCGACGCGCAGCCTCTCTTGTATGTTGACGACAAAATTCAATAACGAATTGGCCATTTTATTGATGGCCGGGGGGGAGGTTGGGTGGAGACAGTCCGACAGATTCGGCCATTTAATTTTGAGGAAATAAACCTTTTTTGATCGTTTTTGTTTACATTTGCGTTCGCTAACAAATTTCAATACTAATAGTAACATGTATCAATAAAGACTTTCACTTAATAAAACAGGAATCAGACATTACTTGATTCAAATTTCCCTTTCTTTTATCAATACATTGTTAAATACAGTCAATGGCCTTTTAAATGAGTTTTAATTAGAATGAACAATTTATTTTCTACAATAAATTAGTTCTATTCATGCAAAAACAAACAGTGAATAGAGAAATATTAATTTTAACCATCTTAAAATGACTGAAAAGTGTTAATAGATTCAATATGCACTTGTTTTGCTTTTTGTAAACAAAAAGTTCTTATTAGGATAATATGTTCATCCTATATGAGTGTTACTGCTGTATTTTGTTTTATAAATTTAGTTTAAGTGTTTTAACTATAAAAATATAGATTGAAAAGTTGCATGTCTTATTTATATTCTTTAGCAAAGCTTTACATAAAAAAAATATAACCGCATGTGAGTTTGTAAGAATGTATGTAATTGTTATTAATAGCCACAATAAAGTAGATTTAATATAATTGTTAAATTAAATTACGAAATAAAACACACATTAACTTAATTCTTACATTATTTTGTGCAAAATAAATCTTATAAGATTGTGTATTGTGGAGGTTTTATCTTAGTCACTAACTTAATCCTAGTCCTCTCCTTTATATATCCTTTTCTACAAAATAGAGAATGCAAAGTTTGGCCAAATCTGCTAATTTAATTACTAAAATAATGTCCTAAGTATCTATTATCTTAGTTGGAATTGTTAGAAGAATTTCAGCGAATTATTTAAATAATCTGCCAATATTAAACTTAAAAAGAAATTCAACTACATTAGAAAAATGTTCTGAGGGCAAGTATTCTCAAGTGCGTTTGAGGTACCAAAAACACTGTTTATTTAATTATATTACATCAGAAAAATATTCTTGAAGAAAGTGGTATATCAATATAAAATCATACTTGGACTATCATAGGAATTACTAATTTCAATACGGCTTCTTTGTTTTTAAACTTGTTACAAGTGTTGTATAGATACAATTAGTAAGCTGGAATGTTGTGTATGTTTAAAACTGATCTAAAATAAAATAAAACAATCCAATAAGAATAATTCCATAGTTCCGGCCAAATTGTGCCGGGGGAAAAAATCTGTTTACATGCTATATCTAAATATTAGTAGACTAATTGCATAACACTTTGATTACCTAAAAAATTTAAAACCACTTATGCTTTGGAACAACATTTTGACCGAAAACATGGAATTACTCCCATACAACAACATTCATTAACATATGTTATTTAATTAATTGTAATATTAATATATATTCGTTTTTGTTTATCAAGTAGGTGGAAGGAGTTAAGAATGGGGGAGAGTAAAATAGTCCACCATTAGTTTCCCGGCGCACTGGGGCGTGGGCGTTGGGGGCGTGGCGCGGGGCGTGGGGGTCCCCGTGCCGCCCCCCAGCGACCTACTCGCCACTATCTCCATGTTCGAACAACAGATCAAAGCTGAACCCATGAGGTAACTATTGTGCACCAATTAACTTCAACTTTTAGAACTGAAACAAATATTAAACTTAACATGGATAGATGTTGAAATTTTAATAAAATGAGTATAAGTTGCCCTTATTATTTAAAATGCTGTTTCATTATTCAGATTTTATAAGAGATATGATCTTCTGAAAGGTAGATTGTTTTGATAGTTAAAGCAACATTCTTTATCAAGTCTCCAAACATTTAGTTAACCAATATTTCTGATTCAAGATAATTGTAGATTAAATGTACATTTTCTTAATAATGATTGTATTTTCAGCTTCTACACCCCCCATTCACATCACTCAGGACCCCCTACGATAATGCGTTCAGATTCAAATCATGGTGTGATCAACATGAACCAGCATCATCATCAGGAAGATTCCAAAGACAGTCTCATCATTCAGCAACAAGTACAACACCAGGACATGCTGGACCAGCACCAGCAACAGGACTTGCAACAAGATGATGAGGCAAGTATACCAGATATCATTTCATCTAAATTTACTTTGACTCAGAATATGATTTGAGTATGAATTAGTTAGGTAGAAAACCCAATTGCCCGCTCAAAATCTGGCTTATCAATATTATGTACTATTTTTTTATTTTTTTTAATATTAATGCTATAATTTAGAAACAAAATTCAATATAGGTGAAAGAAATACCTAATATTGCCTTCTACTACGATTAGAAATTATAATATCTTCTTTTTATTACAGTTGAGCTTTAAAGGTATGGACGATGATGGTGTTGATATGGATTTGGATGGTCGACAATGTTCACAGGTATACACAACATTTTACAAAAGTCATAAAATTATTTTATATTTAAATAATAGTATGTTAAAAAAACAAATGTTTTATGATAAATGTTTTTTTGTAGGGGATGGGTGTGGACATGGATTCCGTTCAAACTAAAATGGAGGTGACCAATGGTGGACAATTACCAAGATCTAAACCTCAAGCCTGTAAGGTAAAAATACTTAATTTCACAAAAGCACAAAAAAATTGAAGTTTTCAACGGAACACATATAATTAAGAGATTTTTAGTATGAAAATTTTAATATCTATGTTATTGTTTCCAGGTTTGTGGCAAAGTTTTGTCATCAGCATCTTCATATTACGTTCATATGAAACTTCACTCTGGAAATAAACCTTTTCAGTGTACGGTAAGTTTGAAACATTTGTTCCATATTTCTACTTTTGATGACAGGAACAACCATTATGCAATACTAAAATGTTCCAAATGTTTATGGTATTGGAATGCTATGAAAGGAATGCATTGCAAGGAACAAGGACATTATTTGTGATTGTGGAGGAACACTTTTACTGGTGCTAATGGCAATGGTGTTTCTCCATTCCTTAGAGATTAACCAAGAGACGGTTGGATTATGTGAATTTAGACATTATCAAGAAAGGAATGATGACTGATATTATGGATGATAGAGTACTGTGGAAGTCGGAAAACCTGTTGTGCCAACCCTACCCTAGGATAAGAAGGAAGATGATGACTAAAATGCTCCAAATCTATACTAATTTTATAAAGAGAAAAATTTAATTTTTGTATGTATTGAGATAACTCAAAAACTACTGCACCGATTTCAAAAATTCTTTCACCATTAAAAAGCTACGTTATCAGTAACTAAGTTAGGCTATATTTTTTATTTCAAAGTAGCGAAGTCGCGGGCGAAAGCTAGTTTATTGTCGTGTATTGTCAGGTTTGCGACGCGGCGTTCTGCCGCAAGCCGTACCTGGAGGTACACATGCGCACGCACACGGGCGAGCGGCCCTTCCAATGCGACCTCTGCCTCAAGCGCTTCACGCAGAAGTCTAGCCTCAACACGCACAAGCGCGTACACACGGGTCAGTACACACACTTTCACCCCACAGGTACCTGTACCTGTCCTGACAGGGGTCGGCAACCTGTAACCAACCCCCACAGGCATCGCCTTGGACTTATACTTTGTCATCTTGGACCCATTTTAGTCCCTAAACAAACGTTTTTTTAACTTTTTCAGCTTGTTCGATGATTTTATTTTCTAAAAAGTATGTTGTAACTTTAGATTGATCCAAGTCAAGGTTGCCGATCCCTGTTACAGAAGCTAGATTGGCCCTCTTGACAGTGTTTTTGAGTTGAAATGGTAAAACTTAAATAGTGTAATAGTGGTTTCTTGTATAGGTCAATGCAAAAATGAGAGGCAATTAGTTTTTATACTTAAAATAAAGTTTAGGTAAATTGTTTTTAAAATTCCATGTTACTTGTTGGCAATGTGATTTCCATATGAAGATATTTCACCTAATTAAAGATAGATATGAAGTTGTTTAAACTAAAGTTTTATGGAAGTTGTAACACTTATTCTTATTAAGTTATTGCCATATTTTACATTAAAATTTCCGTGTTCTTACCATGAGGGGATGAAAAACATAATTTTAATTGATTTCATTTTATATTTCTGGTTAAGTCAACCTCCTCCTGTTACCGCGGTTCGCGTAATTTTTTTCTTTCGTCCATACTTGATAACGCCCTGATTTAACTAAGTATTTATTTAAAAAAAAAATTGAATAATGCTATTTTATTTTTGCTACATGATTATTTATATTTTTAGAATATTGCTTTATGTTTTTATGATAATCCTATTAAAATAATTTTGATTGAATATTGAAGTGTTAGGTACATTGTTATTAATGTACTTGAATCGTATATAAACATTAGAATACCCTTTCCTACTTCCGAAGTAAAGGCCTCTGGACGGAGCTTTAATAGTAGTATTAACATAGCATGTAATTATATTTTATATATCAGGCATGACATTCGTAAGCACGACACCGGTGCAAAATATATTCAGGATAGTTAAATACATATGCTTAACACAGAATTGTGAATAGTTTTTGAGTTGTGTCAAGTAGAAGTCGCTATAAAGTATCAGGGCGTGAGGAAGGGTTCATAGGTGAGTGGTAAACAGGGGGAGGGCGGGGCCGGTGGTGGGCATGTAGTGGGCGGAGCGACCACCGCCGCCCCCGCGGGCTTACAGTCGCGAGGTAACGTGTGGCGTGTGGCCTGGCTTCAGATGAGCACATGCGCGCGTTGTTGGCGAACGAGCGGCCCCACAAGTGCGAACTCTGTCAGATGCGCTTCACGCAGAGCTCCAGCCTCAACCGACACAAGAAAATACACACGGGTGGGTTGCACCTTCCACACCGCCCACAGGCCTATCTTACACTATTCATTACCTTCCGGCTCTTTGTAACTTCACATTGGTGTATCTGACGTGTTCGATGGTTTCGTTCAGAGGAACACAAACGCGCGCTGCTGGCTAAGGACCGCCCCTACCAGTGCGGCGTCTGCTTTGTGCGATTCACCCAGAAATCGAGTTTGGGCCGGCACGGGAAAATACATACCGGTGGGTTTCTACCTATACAAACTGCATATTAACTGCGCGACCTAAACCGTGCTCCGACGTAGCCTACCTCCCCCTGAGTGCGAGTGTGAATGCGTAGGAACTAATTAGGTCTAATGGAATTGTGTGTTGAGAGAATGCCGTAATGATATATCGAAAATCGTATACCTTATAGAGGAGCACAGACGAGCCCTGTTAGAGAAAGTGCGGCCGTACCAGTGCCACATCTGTTTTATGCGCTTCACACAGAAATCCAGCCTCGGCCGACACGGAAAGATACATACCGGTAGGCAACTTGCCCTAAACTCCTTAGTAGTCAATGAATTTGTCAGCAATAGTGAACGTAGGCACAGGTCAGTGGGCTTGGCGTGTGCGCGACCGTTTATGTAGCTTTGTATTGGTATTTCTAGAGGAGCACATCCAATCGCTGATCAACAAAGTGCGCCCCTATCAGTGCGACATCTGTGACAAGTGGTTCACGCAGAAGTCCAGCCTGGGCACTCATAAACGCATACACACCGGTGGGTCCCCTCTTCATTCTTTTTATTATTCATTCGGGTTCCAAGTCACAATTCAAACATGTATCTTAGATCATAGTATATTTTGGATTATTCATTCTTTTACATTGTTGCTGTTGTGGCTTCGATACCTTATTTGTGAATAGTTTTAAAGGGCTCCCAACTATCGCGTTCATGTTTTGTTACGATTAGCGATTCGGAAGTGTTTTTAATGTTTTATTTTAATAAAGCTCGTCGCGTGTAAAAGCGGTTGTTATTTTCCAATAGGGGTTGCACACGCTCAAAAACTATTCACAAACATTTACAGTATAAGCATGTGTACGTTGTGAGACTTTCCGTTGAAGTAGGCCAGTTTTATTTTGATGGACAAGTAAGATGAATTCCCTCATGGTAGCGTGTGGCGCGAGTGCGAGAGAGAGGTCGGAGCAGAGCAGCAGGTCGAGTGCGGTGCGAGTATTATTTGTCCATCGTGGTTTTGTTTTGTTTCTCTGTCCCCGCGCGGGCGCGGCGCAGGCGAGCGGCCGTTCCAGTGCACCGTCTGCCTCAAGTCCTTCACGCAGAAGTGCGCGCTCAATTTGCACGAAAAGATACATACGGGTTAGTAGCCCACATATATTTATACACTGCGACACTCCTTCCGGTGCGGTAGCGTCGACCTGCGCGTCCTCACGCGACTCATACATTCTCATTTAGCGTCATGCTTCTGTCCTACTTTTCCGTTGCTCGCCTAACCCGTTGATTTACGTTCCCTATATTCGATAGCTTGCCATCTCGATGCTTCCCACTAACATCTCGACCGTACAGTAACTCCTTAGAATGCGCGCTTTACCGACTTCTGCACTCGCCCGCAACCCTCTATCATTCTCAACTGCCGGTCATACTCATTTTTATGTAGCGATTCGATGTTTTTTAATGCACCATTACTTTGAATTCATCTTTTCTCTTCATTAATATTAATAATATCACAAAAGCGGTAATGCAATCGCCGCTATGACGCACCGATTGGCGCCTCAGTATCCGATTAGTGTCAAAATTGCGGGTCGCGTATTCGCGGGGCGAGGGGGAATCGGCCGGTAGGCGGGCGGTCTAGCGTCGGCGACGTGCGTTACTCGCTTTTGTGTGTGCACTGGGCGCAGTGCAAGGGCGTCCTTACACGTGCGGGCAATGCCCGGCGGCCTTCGCACGCCGCCCCTACCTGGACTCTCACATGCGCACGCACACAGGCGAGCGGCCCTATCAGTGCGACGCCTGTCTCAAGCGCTTCACGCAGAAGTCCAGCCTCAATATACATAAACGGACGCACACAGGTGGGTCTCAGCCGGCCGGACTGGCGCCCGCCCGCCCCCTACCGCCCCACACCCACGTATGTTTGTCTCTCTCTTCTCCAATCTCTCTTCGGCGGTCGCCTCGTTGATAGTCGCGCGGGGCCGATGCGAGGTTTGGAGGTGAGTACGCGGCGAGCGGCGAGCGGCGACCAGTCCGCGCCGCATCTGCGTAGTGCGAGGGCGAGTAGCGCCCTTGCGGGCTCGCCGCTGCTATAATGTATGTGTTGGGCACCAGTCCAGGGCAGACCGTTCCAGTGCCTGTCGTGCCCCGCCGCCTTCACCTGCAAGCAATACCTGGAGATACACACGCGCACACACACCGGCGAGCGACCGTATCAGTGCGACATCTGCCTGAAGCGCTTCACGCAGAAGTCCAGTCTCAACATCCACAAACGAACGCATTCAGGTACGTCGCCGCTCGACGCTAGGGACGGATGTACGCTATGTGGGCTGCTAGGTCGCGGGGCGGGCCGCCTCCGCCGGCGCGCGCCCCTCCCGCCCCTCTAACACCCCGCCCTCCACAGTGCAGGGTCGGCCCTTCCAGTGCCTGCAGTGCCCCGCCGCCTTCACCTGCAAGCAGTACCTCGAGATACACAACCGCACGCACACCGGCGAGCGACCCTACCAGTGCGACGTTTGCCTCAAGAGATTCGCTCAAAAGTCAACACTCAATATACACAAACGAACGCACACAGGTACCGTACTTCCACTGTAATCAATGTTAATACGAAAGTTGTCGGTGCCACATGTTAGGATCTAAGTAAATATGTACGAGATTAGTGTGTAACGGAGGGTGTGTGTGGCCAGTGCAAGGGCGGCCGTATCAGTGCACGGAGTGCCCCGCCGCCTTCACGTGCAAGCCCTACCTGGAGATTCACACGCGCACGCACACCGGCGAGCGCCCCTTCCAGTGCGACGTCTGTTACAAACGCTTCACGCAGAAATCCACGCTCAACATTCACAAGCGCCTTCACACCGGTATGCCCATCGTCATCGGCCTCTAATAGATTGTGCAAAAAATTTGTAATAGTACAGGGCCTTGTGATTAAACTTTTATCACCTATATGTAAAATTGCTTTAGACTAAAAAATATTAGGTCCTGTACTTTTGCCGTCGCTTTTCACTAAAGTTTTATTCGCGATTATGTGTGATTTAACGCACTGACGTTTTGCGCAGAAGACGGCAAACTGCGATAACACAAATGTTTTTATTTTTAGACACAATGATGTGGCACCGACAACTATGTGATTTATCATGTTTTATCATGCGCTACATCATCTCAGTTTTAGTACCATTTTATTTCATATAATTAATTGATTTCAGATCATACTGTCTCATTGCATCTTGCCGTCTTTATAAATTATTTGCTTTCCATCATACTTTTTTTATTTCAATTAATTCATTACCTACTATTCCCTATTTTATTCTCCGCCTATAACATAAATATGTTCACGTTAATAGTAGTTTTTTTTTGTTCAGGTGAACGTCCATACGCATGTGATATATGTCAGAAACGATTTGCTGTGAAGAGTTATGTAACAGCGCATAGGTAAGATACTCTCCTTAGTGCTTTATATTCAATTAGAATTACTGATTTTAGAGAGATCATTGGTAAACCGGAATACGACTACCGTTTAATAGTTTCTTTTAACTAACGCCCAAGATACCCTTAGCCTCCTAGATGGCGGTGTGAGCAACTTTAATATGAGTGTGGTGTTCAGATGGTCGCACGTGGCGGACAAGCCGCTGAACTGCGAGCGCTGCTCGCTCACCTTCACCTCCAAGTCGCAGTTCGCGCTGCACATCCGCACGCACTCCGCCGCCGCCTGCTACGAGTGCAGCGTCTGCGGACGCACCTTCGTGCGCGACAGCTATCTCATACGGTCCGTGTACTCTACTGGCTACTGCCATCTACTGCCATCTACTGCCTCAAAGTGTACAGTCAAGGAAAACCACAGTGTTACATTTATACTCCGCTTCTTAAAAAACACCAATTAAGTATTAGGGAGGACATACGACAGGGTAATAAAAAGCAAACCTTTTTTTTCGTACAGTCACATTTAATAGCTACTGGGTTATTGTTCAGCGTCATCCTCTGAATGTGTGCAAAAGTACAAACTGTAGCTGTTAACTTGAAACACTGCCAGATTTCCTAACTGTACATGTTTGAAATAAGAGACTGTTTCTCATTTTTAATCAAGGCTTAGAATAAGACAAGTAGTGGGATAGATTAGAAGAAAAAGGGAAGAAGAATAATTTTGCTTTAAATATATCTATGAATTATAATAGTTAAACATTGTAATTTATGTCCAGGCATCACAACCGCGTGCACCGCGACAACCACAGCAACATGTCGGCGAACAGCATCGGCAACATGGCCGCCAACGCCAACAACTCTAACAATTTCGACACTTCCGGCGTTTGTGACTTAAGGTAACGCAAACATTTTATTTATAATATAAGTTGACAGATCTACGAGCGGCTGAATTCGCCGAAAAAACGAAGCGATCCCTTCCCATATACAACATTTGCGATTTCAGGTAACGGACAAGAAGTCGTACATAAAGCGGATATTTCCCCTTTGCGTCTCTTCCACCGTCAAATCCTTCCCATACTTTCCATGTAAGAAAATGGTGGGAAAGGAAAGGGGCTAATATCAGCTCTCCCTTTTCTATTAAACATTGTTCGATAATAACTTAATGCAAGAAAAACTTACTCTACGTCTAGAAGATGAATGAGAAGCTATCGACTAATTTAAAATTTTGAATCTTCGGTCGGCCGTTCACAAAATCCAAATAATTTTAATACTAACCAAATTTAGCCATTTTACCAACCAAAATTTAGGCCTAAATACTACGATGAGAGTTTTAAGTAACGATTTATGAATGCATCATATTATAGTGATAAATAACAATTACGAATACGATTACATATTAAATAATGTATTTTGTTCAGTTTCGTGCCGATGGTGAACCGCTACATGACGTCGCAGGGCACGCAGGTGTCGATGCAGGACTCCAGCAAGATGTCCGCCATGTCGCCGCAGTCCATCGCCTCCATATGTAAATTACATTTATATATCTTAACATTCACTTACATTGAACTCTTAGTCGATTAACTAATTTTACTAATTACTCTTTATAGTTGCCAAACGATTTTGGACTCAAAACTATCGAGGGTTTTATAAATATAGGTTTAGGGAGCTACCTTATATGTCATTTTTACATTTTTTTTACATATTTCAATTCTCTAAACTCTAGTTAAAATTTAAATTTAAATTCAAATCTAATATCCAAATCACATTTTAAATGTCACAAATTTTCAAGCCTAATTTTAAAAAAATACAATTATAACCATTTATTTTTATAAGAGTAAGAACATTTAAAATACAATAAAAATTGAAATAAAATGCTCAATAAACTGTCCATAGGCGTGGCTAGGGGAGGGTAGGGACAATGCCTCTCCATCCCCTACCCTGACGTCAATGCCAGTTGGAATGTGTTTAGCAAGATTTATGTATGTATAATGTATATTTTGTGTCAGCGTCGCCCCCTCCCCCGCACACGCCGACCCCGCAGCCCATGTCCGTGCAGATGCGCCTCGCCGACTGATGGGCCAGATAGGTGAGCAGCAACCCACAAATTTACAACAATTTCTTACAAATAAAGATCTAAAATTCGTACTTTATTATGTTATGCGAAAGTTTGGATGAATGGATGTTTATTACTACGTATAAAGGCTTAACAGATCTTGGATGAAATTTATCACTTATTTAGATTATAATTTGGGAAAATGTATAAGTTACTTAGTTTTTTTGGATTCTAAGAGGATAAAGTCGCAGGCAAAAGCTTATTAGTAAATAAATGTTGACCACTGTGGTCGTAATTACGATACTGTTTTATTATATTTTAACAAGCTTTCGTCCGCGACACCGCGCGTGCCGAAGTAAATGTAATTAATTAGTAGTCTGTCTTCTTCCAAACTATCCTTTACATGTATGCCAAATTTCATCGAGATCCGTCCAGCTGTATAGACTACAAACTCTAACATCTAAACTTTCACATTTATGTTAGGTTTATTATAGCCATTTATATATATCTTGTTAATATTATAAATGCGAAAGTTTAGATGGATGGATGTTTGTTAGAGTTTGTAGCCTAAACCGCTGAACGGATCTCAATGAAATTTGGTATAGATGTAGAGGATAGTCTGGAAGAACACATGGGCTAATCGCTTTTGTTTTTTTTTAATTCCACGTGAACGGAGTCGCGGGCGAAAGCTAGCAAGATATAAATGTGAATATTTGTCAGGTGTGGAGCAGCTTGCAGTGCAGCAGCCGGCAGCCGCCAGGAGCAGCTACGAGACATCGCGGGACGCATTCAGCGCAGACTTTACATCTTTATACAAAAACCTTTATTTTTTATTGAGTTATTTATTTAAAAATAGTTGTGAAGTGCGGAATGTTCTGGAAGCGGCGGTCGCGGTGCCGCCTATTATAGTGATCGTATTCGCAACTGTGATTTATCACCATCACTCGATGGCATTCATAAATCGTTACTTAAAACTCTCATCGTAGTATTTAGGCCTAAATTTTTGATCTCATATTCTAATTTGCTTAGTATTAAAAAATTATTTGGATTTCGTGAACGACCGACAGGAGGTTCAAAATTCTAAATTCGTCGATAGCTTCTCATTCATGTTGTAGGCGTAGAGTAAACGATATCTTATAGCGATGCTTTAACTTAGTGTGTCATGTAACGGAGTTCACTAATTTTGTACGTCTTGTTACCGTTTAAAAGTGAAAATATTTTCAATGCGGGCTCGTAGGTATAAACTCCTATATAATCAATAAGAATGCTTTAATATTAATCAGATAACGAAGGAATAATAATTAACAAGTACAAAACCATTGTGCGGCGTCCGAGGCGATAACGAAGGCTTCACAAAATTAACTTTAATATGATGTTTATTGGAGTAATCCAGAGAAGTGCCTGTTGCAACGTAAAATTGGCAATATTTTAGTAAGTGTGTTACTTTCATGGGGTCCCTGACCTCTGTCTTCTCGTGTGGCAATAAGATAGACCTGTGACATTTTTGATATCACTTCTGCCTTGTATACATAGAGCGTATAATTTGTGAAGCTTCTTACTGAACTTTGTGTGCCTTCTAGCGGATAGCGACGTTACGCGATAACATTCGATCACTGACCTCTATAAATGGATAGGCTATAAGATCTTTACAATGTTGGCGCTGGCGGTCGCTTTTGGTGGCTGTGATGAGAATTAGAACTAATAAACATAGAATTAACTGTTATTAATATCATCAGGGGTATTTTAATTGGAATGAAGCAATAGCTGCCACTTTATACCTATCTATTTATACAGACCGGTATTCGATATACATCTCCCCTAACTTTTGTTACATCTCTAATGTTTTGTAAGACGGTGACATATTATTAAGAGGCCGGTGGAAATAGCATTTGATGCCTTCGATTCGTGGTTTCTGACAGTACTTTACCGCTGTACAATCAAGTACAATTTATGTATAGGAAACGGGAAATCATTTGTAAAATTGTAAACAACTTTCTTTACCTAACCGTAATATCAGAATTTCGATGTCCCCGTCTTACAAATATTATTCCAAGAAGCAATCGTTTTCATAAGTAGAGTGTCGGATAGCGTGTAATGTAGTGTTAGCGCTGTAGTCTTCCACAGTATGAGCTGCCACGGAGCAGCTACGGGGTTCCTTGTAGGGATGGTTGCTACTGAATCATCCGATTGATATCGGTATTTTAAAATCGATAATACGATACCGATATTTTATAAGCAGTGCTTAAATATCGATGTATTAAAATCGATACTCTTGAAGCTTTCGAATTTAAGAATGCACTCTTATTTTAATTTGGTGAAATTTCAGTCTGTTGTATAGTATAGCTATTTTATTTCCGTCTATTCATTTTAAATAGAGCTTATTTTCTATTTTTATTTATTACAATATTTTATTACTACATAACGGATAATGAATAGAATTTAAATAGTTGCTTGATTAAAATATTTTATTGTTTTCAAAATTTTTGAATTCTTTGCAGTATCAGTAGTGGTTATGAGATATATTTTTTGTGATGTTCGATGCAAATCAAAGTGGGAATCGATATGTTAGCAAGGATGATGGTCGATCATCCCTAGTTCCTTATGGTTTGCCATTATTGATATCAAAGATAGATTGGTGCCATTTGTATGTAAAGGATGCGGTAGTGTAAGTTTAGTTAAGTTTGCTGGTCAGGGTAGGGTTGCAAGTTGATTATTGTAGGGAACTCAGTCTCATATGTTTATTGCGAAAAGCACTTTTTGAATTCGCCGTTTTCTTTATATCTTTTTATATGACTATATTGTTTTGTTTCCGAATGTGTTATTGTTTTTTCTATGACATTTTATTTCATCCGCGATGTTGTGTGCGTGTCCATTTGCTGCGGGCGGAAAGTGTGTAAATATTGCTAGGGACTATTTATTCGATTGAAGTTAAAGTCGATTCGATATCGATAGTAGATAGCGCGATACGAATGCGCGTCCCTAAAGCGGCGCGAGAGATATCGGAACTGAAGTGAACATAAATTGGAATTAATCATAGAGTATTTAGCGCAGATGTATACTTTGGGTAAAAAGTCGAAATTTCCTTGTAGATATACACGATTATGATAATAATTAATAAGTATACATATGAATGTTGTTTGATAGTCCTCAATATTTTTTTATATTTTGATAGTTCTGTATTTGAAGAAAATAAACACGAGAAAATAGGCCAATATCTGATTTATAATTTAAATAAAGCTGTATGTACACGATAATATAAGGTCGAGACGAGGGATGCATTTAGCTGCCGACGCCGGCGACGTGCGCGCGGTACGAGACACTAGTGTTTAAAACATTTATCCGCGTCTTTGGAATTAACTCGTTCTTATTAAGTTTTTTCTACCAAGCCATTGAGAACAGTATTATTTAGAGAAACTAGAGAGAACTCTGTTTAATGAGTAGAATAATACAACTACCATTTTGTTAAGATCACCCTTGAAAAATTAACATATTTTGTCAATAGATGTAGCGACCGGCGGACTTTGTATTATCCATAGATGTTAATGGGAAATAGAAACACCAACATAGGAAACTAGTTACATATAAAATATATAGATGTATAGCATCGCGCCCGCTTCCCCTCTGCGGCCGGAGATACGCAATGCCTAGAATTAATATATTTTGTTGTTATATGTTCTCTATATAATTGTTTATTCTTGATTATTTTAACATTTATATCGCACGGCGCGGGGCGGGGAAGCGAGGGTCACTTGGTCCTATTTAATTACGAGATAAACTCCATGTATACCTCCTTACGTGAGGTCGTAGTGATAGTATATTTGGTAAAAGATTAGGACCCCTCCTTATAGCGATAAAGATATATGAATTGATTATAATAATTTTTTCAACCAACAAAATATAGGTAATTCATATATCTTTGTTGTCCAACTATTTTACATACCGATGTTAGTTACTATATTTAGAGTAATACTGTACTTTGGATTTACGTAATCGTAAAATATGGTTATAGTTGTTTATATTTTTAAAAAATTTTCTCTACTTATTTTTTTGTCAACCGTAGAAAAAGACTGAATTACAAAAAAAATTAATCCACACCGTCGTTTAAGAATACTCAGTAAAGGGAAAAGAAAATATTGGCAACATTTTTGGAATGTTCTGTTTTTTAACTTTTTGTCGTTGATATCGGTTGTGGTGTTGGACCAAACCAATTTTTTTTGTATCTTACCTAACTTGTAGTGTTTTGGTATGAGACAATTCGTTTAAAGAAATCGTACATATCCTTACTTGTGAACTTGTGTATAGTTTCACTGCAGGGAGTGTTTGTCTGTCGCAGTATGGCACTTTATGTGAACAATGCTATCGGTGCTTTTGAGGGTATCTGTAAAAATATTTATGTGACATTTTTTATTTATTCTTATACTTCGCATCTTCCGATGTAAATAATATCTTATCAAATGGAATAATTATCGGATTGTGTTTATATTTTAGTTTCAATGTTTTATACTTTTTTAACCATTGTTTATTTACTCAATATTTACTTGATTGTATTTTTTACTGAATACTCATGAGATGCTTTTACGTTATACGCGTACAAAAACGCAAGTATTTATGAAATTAGTTAAAAACAGCTTTTGAAGTAATTAAATGATATATTTCTGTTCTGGAGTGTATTGAAACATTCATAGCAAGTTTGTTCGCATAAAGTATCATGTTGGGCAAAGCCTCCACGGGTCATAAGCCGTGGTAGCGTCGAGTGACAGTGATCCTTGTATAATCATTAACGTCTAAGATACAATACATATTAGTTGTACCGTTAGATTTACGCGAACTTCCGCTTTGCCAACATATTGCGTTGCTTAAATCATAATCATACGTGAGTACAGCCTAAGGATTTTAACGTTTTTTTTATATACTGAGAGCTATTTCTAAGTCACTGATTTTTTACGATTTGTAGATATATGTGTAATCAAAATATTTTAAACGGCTATGAGCCGTGATAAACAAGTTTTGGAGTATTTTACATACATTTTAATTCCAATTATTATTAAAAATCCAATGAACAAAGATCATGGCATGATAGTTTTTTTGCGGTCATTTAGTGATAGCTCTACAGAGTTTTGATGACCAATATTTTTTAATTGCAACTGTTTTTTTTGTATTGTTAAAATTTTTAGGCTAGTTTATATTTCTTATATAAGTTAGATTTGTTAACTGTGGTGTATTGCACATGAACGTAGCTCCTTTACAGCCTCCTTTACGTTTTCTTTTATTATAGTCTAAAGATGTGATAAATTTTATAATTAGTTTTATTTTAAGGGGCTGATTACACCTAAAATCTATTTACAGAATGTGTAAAAAAATAACAACTATTTTTTGGAAAGTGTTATGTTTATTTTTTAGTTATAGTTTAAGATTAAAGCATTTTATCAGAGTATTTTAATAGCATTTTACAAACTTTTATTCGAGGCATAGATAATCAAAAACTGGTTTATAAAAAAAAAGATTAAATGCAATGTTTTTTTTCTATTTCGTTCTGTACACGATCTGATTTTTATCGTATTTATAAATTTAAGTATTTCGGATTATGTATAAAGTAACGCCCTATGTATTGTGATGCACAACCCTTGTAATATTTGAGTCAGTATTTTTGTTGAGTAGAATGGCTGGTCCAGTATTTAGTTCCATGAGCGATAACCAAGTTAACTTACAATTAGCCAAGTAGAGTAAAGTAAGATTTAGGTGATCGTGATCGGCTTCAACTGAAAATGCTGTTGTAATTGTTTACCGTTAGCGTACCGGCAGTAAAGAGGCTGTAAGGATCTGTATGTTAGTCAGCATTATGTATATGCTTTAATGTGATTTTTTAAATGTACTCTTTATTATATTAGTGTCATCATTCTTATATAATTAGCGAACTAACAAAGCGTTTCTAATATTTTTTTTTCAATTCATAGTGATTTATATTGAGATCAAAATAAATACAGAGTTTATTTAATTTTTATGAAAAATATACATTGTGTAAAATTTTATTCATTAGTCGCCCACGTGCGGGGCTCAAATATAAAGAAACTATATGAAATGCAAAATAACAAGTCACGATTCTTTTAGAGGTCGCCATGTAGTGGAGAAAAATAAACGTGCCATGATATTTGTGGCTAAATATCTCTTTTATTTCATCTCTGCTTACCCCCTTCCACACATTCCTGTTAAATATAATTGACAATATTTATCACCAGCTCAATATTCGTCTCTTTTAGGGGTTTGGAACCTACCCTAAAGTAAGGAGTGACTAAGCCATAGTCAACGACGCTGCAAAAATGCAGGTTCGCACATATCTTTTGAATTTCTTCGCAGATATGTGCAGGTTACGTCACGATGGTATTTACCCTAAAAATGTTATATAAATTACATAGTTGTAGAAAACCGCGGTGGTCCACTTCAGGTAAATCTGCCTTGTTCATTGGAATAAGACAAACTCCGCCTCTTCCTACAAATAACGAGATAGCAGCGAGTGGTGCACTCCAAGTAATAATAAAAAAGTAGCTAACTACGCACTTTTATTTTGTACAGTATATTATTAGGCTTTGATTTGTTGTGTTTTTCGCACCTCGCATAAAAATGTTCAAACTATTGTAGCTTTTACGCTAAAACACCATTAGTTTTCTCGACTGTACATATGAAATCCGAGAATCACAGTGGTATATGGCGGAATTCGAAACCAACAACTGTAGATTACAAGTCAAGCGCTTGAAGCCTTGATCCACAGGACGCTCTTAGGCAATATAAAAAAAGTAATATTTTTTACTTGTTTATACATTTATTTTAAAATTAACAGTCGACGACAATTTCTTCTTTGACCACATTAGCGTCCCCCGCCGGGGCCAACGTGTTGTCTATAATGGGCGCTGGGCTCTTGTAATAAATGTTGCTGGCGTGATGTTCCTTCAGATATTCCGCACCCATTTCATAATATTCCTCCTTCGTTATACAGTATTTTTCAAATTCATTACTACCCGCAAAATCTCTAGCTCCGTACCAAGCGTCCAAACTTGCATCTTTCGCCATTACCACTTTGTGTGTTGACTGGAACGGTCGCATTTCGAGCAGCTCCCTTTCTAACCTCTCTTTTAAACCTAAAAATTATTATGAAACAAAATAAGTAATATAAATGCGGAAGCTTAGATAAATGGATGTTTGTGTGCGTCTGTTAATAAAAATGCGAAATGCAGGTGGAAAAAATGAATATACCCGGAAAGCGCGAACAGCCGCCCGTGAGGAAGACATTGTTGGCCAACAGCAGCTGGTCTTCATCGGAGAAGTGCTTGAACACGTACTCCATGGTCTCCGCCAGCCCCGCCTCCAGGTTGCCCAGCATCGACGGCTGGAACACCAGCTCTGCCGCTCTGTTACATTACTTGCATTTATTATTACAGCAATAAATCTGAAAGTGCTGGTAATGCAAAGAAAAAGTGAAAATAACAACGTTTAAGATAGGAGTTCAGTATAATGAAATTTAAAAGAAGTTTATCGTTATGTTAGGTACTAAGTTATTTACAACTAAGAAACTTCAAGGAGAAAAAGAAAATTACAAGTCAGTGGAATTTATTTGTTGTAGACCTGAGTGGTTCGATGGCGAGATGCAGCTGGTGGTGCTGGTGGTGCTGGCTGCTGGTCTGCTGCGGCTCGTGGTCGCGCAGCGCCTCCTCCAGCTCCAGCAGCCGCTCGCCGTCCGCCTCCGAGTCGGAGTCCGCCTCGCGGCTGATGCTGCGCACACCTCTCATAGTCATAACCTTGCGTACTTACTGACTGTTATGTCTTAGATGTCTGCCTCACTGCTTGGGTTAATATTATGCCAGTAAAGCCTAGTATTGGAAAATGTAAACACTAACTGACGCTAGTGAGCCTTTAATCAAATGTAAAAGTAAACATTCCTCTCTGGGTGAAGAGTCACAAAATTGAGAATAAAGAAAAAAATTCTTCAATCTAATGATATCAAATTAAATCGACATAGATTACATCTGAATTCCGTAAGGTTTTGTAGTGGGCGATGAAGGAAAGACATGAGCCCGATGCGACTCGTGAGTGCTATGTATGAAAGAGCGAACACTCACGTCAGGTCCGAAGCTGGCGTTACCGAAAAGTTTCAATGATAAAAATCTGCTGCGCCGACTCTACGGGAGTAGGAAGATGACAATTAGTATAAGGAGTACCTCTTGTACACATCCCAGTCGGAGTCGTTGGCGCCGAAGTCGTCTCCGGCGGCGGTGAGGCGCGAGATGACCCGTGCGCCGCCGCACCATGGCCGCGCGCCGCGCACGCCGCGCCTCGCGCCGCTGCACCACCTCGCGGTACTGCGCACACACACACACTGTCGCACTCACAGTCGCTTAATGGTCACTTGATGTGTTCCGTAGTTCCCAGGCTACGCCTACCCCCTCTTTTTTATATTGTATTGCGTCTCCTCCGCCGTTAACCCCACTTTTCCTTCCCATCCTTATCCTCTTAAGAGAAGGGGGAATGGAAAAGGGACTAAAATTAGGCCTCTGGCACCATACTCATTAGACTGTACGTGGAATGCTTCCACTTCACACCTGTCTTCTGTGTGGTCGTGGTATTGCTAGGGGCGAGGCCATTGATAGGAGCGAACATATTAAAGTAGGCTCTACCACTGTTAACCCACTGCCCCCACCATATTAACGTATTACCATACCATGCTTTGTATATTTTCAATTTAACATTCAGGTAAGCAATGTAAAATTCTGAACTAAGCAATGTAAAAACTGTACAATTCGTCTTTATGTCTGTACAAAAAAAGGGTCATTAGTACTAAAAAGGTCAAAGATAACAATTTTTTTTGTAATTAACCTGCAAGTATAACACTGCAGATTTCCGGAAATGTACATTGTATAAAAAAAAAACCATGTATTGATATACAATGTAAATATGTAATCAACCTTTCCTACCTGAAAGAGATCACTTATAAGGTACATAAAATGTAAATAAGTATATATGAATTAGTTGTTACCTTGGCGCGTGTGTCGTTGAGCCAGGCGTGGAAGGCTTCAGGGTCAGCAGGCGGCTGCAGGCGGCCCGCGGGCTTGGTGTCGGGCAGCTCGGCGCCGCCCGCCGCCGCCGCAGCAGCAGCCGCCGCCGCCGCGATACGCTGCTTGTTCTTCTCTATACGAGCGTGCACATTCGATATTTGCCTCTGAAAAATTAATACATAATATTCACTACTTCACTACTACTTTTTCAATTCTAAGATATATGTAAAGTCAACCAACCCGCAGTAGGCCAGCATAGTTAACTATGTCCTATTCACCCCTTATTAGGGTAGGCTCCGAGCCCCCCAGTGGGGACATATAATGAGCTGGTTATGATTCACAACTATTTATTCTTAAAGATTAGTTATACATCCAAATTTTAAATTAAAATTTATTAAATAACATTGTAATGTTCAAGCCCTGTGTCATATTAAGTCTCTCTGTAATATTTCGTTTCTAAATATTTTGAATTACAATATAATACATGTTTACCTGAAGATCTTCATAGTTCTTTATATCGAAACCTTTTATCGCCTCATTAAATTCATCTGTGTCACCATCTTCTATTATTTCCTATAAATGATTTGTGAATAAAAATTCTTTAAGCAACATAGGTTATCTTGAAATTTTACAAGGATAAAAGAAAAATGTTTATAACCTGCAATGCGAGCAATTGGTTCATCTGTTCCTCATCCTCAGCCAACCTTTCTTCTCGTTTTCTTGCATTTATTTCTAAGAGTCTGCGCGCCATCTCTCTCTTACGTTCCTTTTGTTGCTCAGCTGACAAGATTATAATATTGACATAGTTAATTCAATGATCATTGATACAAAAAAATTATAGACAAATTGTAACATACATACTAATAAAAATAAATAAGAAATACCATAAATTTAACTTTAAGCTAGTATTTAAAAATAAAATTGGAAAATTGAATTACCAACCAAAATATGTGAAAATGAAGAATAATTATCTATTGGACCAGAGGTTCTCCAGCCTTTTATTATTTTAAGATAAAAAAAGGAACTCATTGATGTAGCATTACGCAACAAAAAAGATATAAACTGTGCGTTGATTAAAAAAAAGCACTTTTATTACTCATGGACCCCTTTCAAAATTTTACTATGTTCTGTAGACCACAATTTTTTGACATTTAGGGGTTGTGTATAATAATGTCCGAAAGGACTAGCTTTCGGACGCAACTCCGTCCGCGTAGAATAAAAAAAAAACAAAAGCAAATGACCTATGTGTTCTTCCAGACTATCTTCTACATCTATACCAAATTTCATCAAAATCTGTTCAGCCCTTATACTACAAAACAAACTCTAACAAACATCCAACCATCTATCCATCCTTCCAACTATACTTTCGCATTTATAATATTAGTATGAAGTGTGATGTATACCTGTTAGACCTGAAGAAGTTGTTGACTGAACAAACGGTAGCTGTATTCTTTTCACATTAGCTTCATAGTAATCTGGGTTTGCCCATTTCCTTATCTCCTCTTGGTAGTCCAAAGCTATAGAGCAATGTTCGTGAAGGATTTCCTCAATACGGGACATTGTTATTGCATTCACATGCACTGGGTACTTCAACTGTAGTAATTTATGTAAATAGCATATGATTTCACTGCCACCTTGGACAAAAACATGGAAGTGGATTAACAAAAAATGATGTTTATTCTCATATCATATAGCTTTATTGGGGTATAGAAAAGTAGCCTAATTCCAACTGTTACTGAAGACTTTACCTTATACTTCAGAACACTGAACAAAAGTTCAAGTGAAAATAATCTTGTTAAATAATTCCTGTGAGATTTTCATTTTAGATCAATCAGGCCTACTATTTTTTCTTTCATCCAAACTAAACTAAATTTCATTACTGTCTTTTAAAACCAGTAGATATCAACTGTCATAAAGGCGAACTTTAAATTTTAGATTATATATCTTTGTAGGCTATAGAATTTTGTTATTTAAAAGCTAGTCTTACCTAAATTGATCCTTCTTGCATGGTGTGCAATAACTTTACCCCTAATAACAGGTATAATATGTATAGTATGATATCCAATATTGACAATCAAAGCTGAATCTCCTATATCATTCTTGTACATACTGAACAGTGAATCTACTCCGTAGCTGACTGCAGGTATACCATAGCCTTCAAATAATAACTCTGACATCACTGAAAGAATTATACCAGACAATAATTAAATACAATTTACTATGGAGCAATTAAAATACTTTATAGTGTAATATAATACTTACATTGTCTGCAATAATTTGGTGTAACAAATGCTTCAGTTAAAACAACAGGATGAGGCACACTGCCTTCATTATCAATGCCTAAATGTGAGAAAATGTAGTCAAGAACTTGTTCTTGTACTTCAAAGTGAGTTACAATATTTTTATCAAACTGAGTCTTTAACTGGAACCTTTAAAAATGTATTTTAATATAGTAAATCAATCATTTTGACATATAGTGTTTTTTAATCAATAAATAGTCTTACCTTACTGCTTCAATGTTAATAATATCGTTTCCTATTTGAATTGGCGGAGTGACCGGTGGCTCGGCATCTTTTTTGCAACGATCCTTACGCGGTCGAGCAATTAAATTCTTAAAAATCAAATGTGGCTCATCGTATATTGACCAACCGACTCTACACTGATACGAACCTATGGGAAGAATAATAAATTTTTATTTTATCAAATCGCAAAATATAAAATACAACTATGGAAAACTAACCATTATCTATCACCAAAGGTATGTGACCAAATTTTAATGTGGGCCCATACTCGTGTACGATGTCAGGGACAGTTTTATAATCTTTTAAAACTAGTACATCTTCCATTATTCAAGATAAATTGTTTTATTAAAATTAATACTTTCAAACAAAACTTTCTTCTCAACAGCTGACATTTGTCAAAAATATCACAGATTATTAATTTCATAGACAATTATAAATAAAAATGCCACAGAGTAGGCATAGTATCAAAGAAGTTTAAACGCAACTGATCGGTGGTCAACCATCAACCAACTTTTGATACGGCGAATTCAAATCGTTTTTATAAACCCTCATACCCATAGATAGATTTGCTTTTGATCAAAAAAATACAGACGAACCGAGAACCTCCACCTTTTGGAATGTCTGTTAAAAATGTCTTTTTAACGTTATTAAATAAAACAGCTTGCTTTATCAGTTTAAACATTTTATTCATGTTAATAAGGGAAACAGTTCAAGCCTGAAAATCTATATCACAACTACTTTATAATTTTTAATTCATAAATAACTCACAATACAATCTATCAACGTTGTATTTAAATAATATTTATTTACCAACAATAAACATTGCTTAGGAATGTGTTTACAAAAAAAGCCGACAAACGTTCAAAAAATAGATGTTAATCAAAAATAATACATTGAATAATTTTCTGGTTACAACAGTTACATATGTTTATTTACAACTGTAATACAGGATTTTTTAAACATTTCTTTTGTTACTGCTGAGTATGACACATAATATCTCAAATCAATGGCTTATATACAACTTGTAATACTATCCAGGGCCTACATTTGTAACATTGCTATTGCCGAGCCCGATCCGAAGACCAACAAACAACAATTAAATACTCTGAATCCATAACATACGAAGCTGAGTTAGGCTTTAGCGCCCACGGCGGTGCCGCCCGTCTGCTTGTCGATTTGTTCCTTTTCCAATTGCTTGCCAAGGTATTCCCTGCAAATGTACATTCATAATTAAATCAAAATTATTGAAGATTTTCATAGATTCAATACAATGTCATTATACGACAAATACTGTCCTCTTGCTATAATTATAGACTGCAAAGTTATTAGACCTGGCAAAGTCAAATTATGACAGCTCACTAGCGCCATCTTGTCTACATTGAAATAGGTTTTCTTGTTATTTCTACTTCTAAGTCTATACTTATATTATAAAGAGGAAAGACTTGTATTTTTTTTTTGTTTTTCCTAAGACCGCGCGCACACTTTTGACAAAACTATCGCACAACTATTTAGTATCGCTTTGACTAACATGAGGTTATATGGAAGTGTCGACACTACCTGGTTTTTAGTTGAAGCTGCGAAACAATCGACAATCGAACAGTTGTGCGATAGATGAGTCAAAGAGTTCGATTTAAAAGTTTTACAAAATCACGGGAAAGTATGTAGAAAAGGCTCACCAGTTATGGACCATGAGTTTCTGCACCGCGAGCAGCGCCTCGTAGCGCACGTTGGGGTCCTCGTGGCTCAGCAGGTACATGACGCGCTGCTTGCCGCCCAGCTGCTCGATTATACTGCAATGTAACGACACACTTATATAAACTGGCTTAATATTCATTATGCACAAAAGAACACATATTACAACTTGCTTATAATTTGAACAAAATTTTCACACTGTATTAAAAAATGTTTCTAGCTTTCTTTTTGAAGGCGACTAATTACATGTGAAAAGGTATCGCAATGCAATTCATAAATAAGTCAATATAGTTTAGAATTCAGGTAACGTGATAAACACACTCTTAGTTGTGAAATAATTGATAAAAGAGGAAATCATACTAATATAATAAATACGACAGTTTGGATAAATGTTATAAGGTACTTCGTAAACGGCCGAACAGATATCTATTAAATTTGGCATAAGTGAGTCCCTGACAGCTTTTTTTGGATTATACCGACACACCGCTCTGTCCAAGTGGGGACAGATGAGAATTAAAAGTTACATCCGTCCTACCTTTTAGTCCCACTATCACCAATAAGGTGACAGATGGAACCGTTAAGAAATAAAATAAGTTACAACTGTGCGTTCGTCGCTAAAGGTGTGACGGATAAAACTTTACATTCTCATGTCGCCACGTGGGGACAGAGCGGGGTGACGGTTGGGAATAATCATTTTTTGTATGGGATCTATAAAAGTAAGTGTAAAACAGAGCGAATGTAAAATGGTAGTAATAGTGTTTGCTTACTGTTTGCCGCGCGGGTAGTGGCGCACGTACTCGCCGACGTCGTAGCAGGCGACGGCGAGCACGACGGGGTCGCGGCTCTTCTCCAGCAGGTGCACCAGCGTGCGCAGCAGCTCCTGCCCGCGCTCGTTCAGCCGCGCCGCGTTCTCGCGCCAGAACTTCGCCGACTTGTGCACCGGCGACCACTCCAGACTAACACATACACACTTCTCTAAGAGCCTGGCCCACCGACTTATAAATCTAAAAATCTAACGCGTCAAATATATATAACGTGTCTCACAACCACTTAAGCCTGAAGTATAATGATAACACACAGTAGATCAATAATAAGTTTAAATAACTCAAAATCAAATGAAAAATTAACTTAAAGCGTTATAAAATGTAATTAAACTTTGCATTTTACGTCTCTTGCTACGTACTGACTATATTATTAGGGGAAATTTGACCATAAAACTAAATTTCCATAAATACATTAATCTCACCGGCCGCTCTTGACTTCAGTGGCGTACTGATCGAAGGAGCTGAGGTCCTGCACGGAGGCCTGCAGGCGCTCGTTGAGGAAGTCCACGTCGTTCATGATGTCCTCGTCGTCAGACCGCTTCTGCTCCAGGATCGACAGCTGCTTCAGCACCTTGCACTGCACCATCGCGATGCAGTGCTCCTTCGCTACCTGCCACATACACATAATACTAAATACATACATCGCTACGACTTATAAAACGTTTTGTTATAAAAGCCCTTTACTATGTTTACTAATGGGAAGAACTAAAAAAAAAATCAAAACAATATTTTTAAATAGTGTGGAAGTACTCATAGGCTATTAATTTTTTTTTTGTAAATTCCGCGAGATCGTAGCTACGAGTGACAGTTATTGGATACATGTTATATCAAATAATTTGAATTAAATGTCTCAGTCATACCTGGTGATCTTCAGGCTTCTCGATAAGGTTTCTAAAGACAGCGAGCACGATGCGGGTCACCTTCTCCTTGACAGAGTCGCTCAGGATATCAGCGAGGATCGGGATGGCGTTGAACTTGTTCATCTTCTCTGCCAACAGCGGGTTGAACGTCAGCACCCACAGGCAGAACACCAGCTGGTATTGCACCTGGAATAAAGAACACAGACTATATTATAATTAAAAATTGTATAAAAAAAGGTAGAAAAATATAATTTTGCAAACAAAGTTATTTTTACAACAGACAAACTTTATTTAATGCTCGAACTCAAAAATTCTAGAATGTTATCAGCTAAACACTTCTTCAAAGACATAAGTAGATATATAAAATTATTATCCTTATTTCACAAATTTACTTCACTTTGTTTCAGAATATTTACATCATAGTCACAAAGTATGGGGCATTTTTTCTCCTGTCCTCTGTTTACTTAATTTCGACATTTAAATTTACTATTATTATACAAACCTGGAAATTAACTCTGGATGCGAGGATGGAGAGAAGAGTCGATATGCCATCAACAGACAAGAAGGCAAAGCGGTACTCATCCACACGGAGCATCATCTGGAGACAGCGGGCCACAGACTGGATGTAGTCATTGTTCTGAATGAAACAAAAAATACTCACATAAATATTGTGTACATAGCATTTATATTGATATTCTAGTTAATTGTTATGTCATATTTTTAATGTAAATTACTGGTTTCACAATAAAATAAACTTAAAGCCAATCAAAAGTTTTAGTATAATATCATATTGACAAAATATCTCTGGAATCATCTTGTAGTACATCTCTGATATAAGGTGTTTATTACTAATACATATTGTAAACATATAACAGATATATATATGTATGACTAATATATAATATTTATATAACATGTTACAGGAAAATCATTATCATTTGAAAGCTGCTGTTCAATGGAGATAATTTATCTTTACACTTACATTCTATTTTATTAGTAAATTTTAAATGTTATTGCATTTATAAATTGTCCTATGTTACTCAACACAAATTTTACAAGAAGTATTAAATATCAAAACACAAACATACCTTGAACTCCAATAACCTAAGTTGTACATTTTCTTACACTAATAAACTGAAACACCACAAACCTATCAAGCAAAAAGCGAAAAAACAAGACTTGGTGATTAATGGAAAATTAAATGTCAGCATGCTACATACATAGTTAATTGTTAGTCCAGTTTAGGGTAATATCAATACAAGAATTAGTAAATAACACAAAATTAATCACTCGGTTTCATTGTTAAATGTAGACTTTAGACATTCAGATCTTGTGTTGATCCACACAAGATGTACCTTATGTAGACCGGGCAACAATTCCTCATGAGTTTTGGCTTCATCAAAAGAGCTGTAAAGACTCGAATATTTCTCGTGGGCTGCCTCATCCTTGTGCTCCTTGTGCTTGGGCTTATCGGCGGCGAAATGCTGTTTCTCGTGCGCCAACATAACCTGCTCAGCATGCTCTAACTCGGCAGACACTTTCTCCGCCTTACCAGAAAACAAACCTCTCAATCATACAATGCACTCATATCCACATTGCTCTCACGATGCCTTATGTCATATTTGATGCAAAATGTGTTCATATCAAATGCCTTACAAATATAGTATATTTTCTGTCTTTATCAGTAAAATTTTATGTCATGTCTTGTACATATATGCTTAATTTAATAGATATAGTTGTATAATCAATAGGATTTTTCAAATATTTAAAAGTAGAGTCCATTGTTTATATATTTTAAAGTCAATATGAATTTTTAACAATACTTCAAAAATATTTCGTTTTATTTTTTATGAAAATATAATAATTATGATGATCACAATTATGAATAGACCTATTAACTAAGGTAATAGCAAACACAAAAGCATATGTTTTGAATTTTGGTATCTTTAAAAGTGAAAAAGTAATGTTTTATTTTAAATGAAAGTGTCACTTGTTTATGAATGAAATATTGTACAATTACATCTGTAAGGTGAATTCAAGAGAAGCAATATTAGAAAATGTTTTGAGTGAAATGAAATTTAATGACAATCAAGAATTGTGGCGAAAAACATTGCCAAGGCCTTCAATGGGATTGACCAGATGATGAAAGAAATAAAGAAGATGTATATGGTTTCTTAAAAAAAGATACATCAGAATCTTTAGTAATGATAAAATATGGTTGATTGCTAACAATAGATAACAGAATGTTGACATAACTTCATTCTTAAAAGATATCCAAATACTTAAAATCACATCCCTTACATAATATGCATATTGATGACAATAATATGTCTGAACATATTTCCTTAGTTTTCCAAGTATTCAAGTCTAGTGATTTAAACAAATCAATGATTTTCGAGTGTATAATACAATAAAAGTCAACAGTTAAAGTCTTTGTTTTGTTTGATAGAAAAATACAGCAAAATTAAGGATAACTCAGTAATTCCTTGTTAGTAAAGATTATCTAAACCCATAAATAAATTATTTAAGATAAAGAAATAGACAAACAGAAAAACATGAAAAATATCAAACTATATACTCATGGAATGTTACAGAATGACAGCCAAGCATTAGTTATTATCGAATAAAATATCATATATGGAATAATATACCATAATTTTACCATGCAAGGAAATCAGACATGCAAAAAATACAATTTAATAGTATAAAAATTAAGCTTACGTTCATTTTCAGTTGGTCTTTCAGCCAAGACAGATAGAAATGTAAATCACTCTTTTCCATGAGACTGGAGTGCCAGCATGCAAGCTTGGCAATAATACGAGCAGTCATATGCTGAACAAATTCATCTTGACGGTTCAACAGGTTTAAGAAAGGTTGCCAGACGCTACCATGTCTCGATTCACGGAAAATCCTCACTCTCGACTTATCTTCCTAAAATTAACAAGAAAATATAAAAAGCATTTTAAATAAAAAAAATGTAAGTGTGAATTAAAAATTAAAATACTTACAGATAGAATATCGTCGATCAGAACAAGAATGTACTGGATTGTATTATCCTTAGAGATGTGAGTAATAAGATTGAGAAAGACATCTGCACACGCTTCAGGATTCTGGTCTGGCATATCCTTCTGGCCACGCTGGTCCAGGTTCACAATATAATCATGATCACGCTGAGTGATCATCTGGGACCTAACGTAAGAAAATATTAACACCAAAGAAATCTAATAAGACCAGCATTATACAACAAATCAATACTTACTGCAAGTAAGACTGCCAGTTGATCTGGGTTTGGCGAATTTCACTAGCTCTTATTTGTAACACGCTAGTAGCCGCAATCATATCTGTTTAAATGAATAAATTATAACAACAGTCTTAATACTTAAGTTTATTTTATTTTGCGTTTCCCCATCTTACAACTAAATACGTACCGATTTTATCGTCCCCAAGAGTAGGGATAAGTTTGCTAACGTTATCTTCGTTGATGTTAGCCATTTTGGCTATTATAATGCACGAAAAAAACTAAGTAGCAATAATAAACTTTTTAAACCAGAACTATTTTTTGGAAGAGAAAAATTAACAGGGCTGCCTCAGCTGAGAGGTCTTGTGACTATATTACGTGAAGTTTGCCAACACTGAAATGATAAATCTTCTTACCTTCTCTAACGTAGACTCTTTTGGCTGTAAATAAAAGAGATAGATATAATTTCCGGTCTGTGGATGACAGCCTCGGAGCAGTCTTGCAACATAAGGCAATAAATTAAATGTCAAACTAAAGGAACGTTCAGTTTTATTTACTTCTAAGACAATTGTGCAAATAAATTATGTGTTTTTGTCATTACTTATTAGTTATCTGTGATTAAGCTTAACTTAATGGCATTTTCAATACAATTCTTATCAGACATAAAAATACGTTTTGCAACGTTCCAATAAATAATAAATACAGTTATCAGTATCAGCACTAAATAGAATAGGAAAATAGGATTAACCAAATGCCTCAGATGAGTTTTGTAATTGCGCGTTTAAATTAAACCACTAATCATTATAATTGTATTAAAAAACCAATTTTTTTATCATTTAATTTCAAATAACACTCAATGTCATTGCTTTTATTGTGTTTATCATAACATAACCTAAGCGATACGATGTTAGCAAATTGTAACTAGATTTTACTCACGGTTGTATCTGTCGCCATCTGGATTTGCTTGTGGTTTTTGGGCCATAATTCCTTATAATTTTGTAAAAACACTGAGACTAAAGTGCTGAAATTTTGTTTCGTTCTTCATAATCAATTTTTAGTTAACAACTTCTCTTTTTGTGTTGCAGATTCATAATTTGCTTTTGGACCCGTGACACATTTCTCTATAAATAATTTTTGGGAACTGGCCAGTTTCTTTGTCTGACTGACTTCTCTATAAACAAAATTAATCTGTCAAAGTATTGACCCGAATTTTTAAATGGAAGTTGAGCCATCGTTACGGTTTCCTTTAGATGGTTCTATGCAAATCATATTTACTGGATACTACAATGGATTTGGTGTCGAAGTTAGATCTATTGATGAGATGAACTTATTGTACAACATGGGATGTTTTGGTAAAGGGACTTCTTCACGATCTAAGCCAAGGGAATCACAGAATGTTCCTGCTGTGATGAGAAAAAGACAGTTCCTTAAAAGAATGTGTTGGTATAAAAAGTATGGTGATTCTAAAAATTCTTTGGAATCTGATGTATTTCTTAAAGATGTAAATAAATTAGCTGCACAAATATTAAGTGATGGTGAAAAACATTTAAAAAAAGATGTGATAGACTTGGTTTCTAGTGAAGAAAGTGGTGAAGATGACAACAGTGATATTTTTACCCTTGACAGTTATGACAAAGAGGATTTAGTTGTCATTATGCCTAATAGTGATTCCGAAGCTGATGATTATTTTGCAAATCTTAAACCAAAGTGTTGTGTTAATAAGATAAAAATGCCAGAGAAGCTAATGTTATCAAAACAGGAGAGTTTTTTTCTCCTGTATGGACTTGGTTGCTTACAAATACTAAATAATGATGATAAAGTCCTGAATATAGAGCAATGTTGGAAGTTATTTCAGGAGGATGATAAATATTTTTTAGAAAAATATGTTGTTTATCATTATTTTCGATCTAAAGGCTATGTAGTAAAGCCTGGTATTAAGTTTGGGGGTGACTTTTGTAAGTTATTGATGTAATATTGTTTCATTGATCTTTCCAATTTTTCCAATACACAATTATCTCAAAATACTCACATATAAAGTTTTAGAGACAAAGTACTAAGGCTTGACTTAAACTTTTTAAAAAGTCTTGTATGTTGAATTTATTTTTCTCTTGTAGTATTATACAAAGAAGGTCCAAGTGTTAACCATGCAGATTTCATTGTTCTAATAAGATATGCTGGTGAAGTATATGACTGGATTTCAATATTTGGACACCTTAGAGTAGCAACAACTACAGTAAAGGTAAGTTCCTTGTAATACAGTCAGAGAATAAATTACAGTATGTTTGTAATTAAAAATGTTTTCTCTAGAATGTTAAGTATTTCAACTTCTATAATTTTCTTTTAACATTTCTTACAGGAAGTATTAATTGTGGAAGTGATTCGACCTAATGGAGAACTTGAGTTACCTAAAGATTTGAAAGAATATTGTGTGCGAGAAGTGTTATTGTCAAGAAACAATCCTGTAGCAATAAATGATGAAATTGAGTAAATTTATGCTTGTTTCATTTTAATTTCATTTAAACATTAATAGGTTTTTCAATTAAATTTAATATATTCTACTGTACAATGCTAAATTTGATTTTTACAAATACTTGAGAGTTTCATCTATATTCTTTTCATTGCTTTCTTAACTCCTGTTCTTCTGTATTCGCTTCTTTGATTTAAGTATTCTTCTGTACAAGCTTGTCTAAAGTCCTCATTGTTGTACCAGCTCGCTAAACAAGATTTCATAACTGAATTTTCATCTCTACACTTAATAACCATCAGTAATGATGATTCTTTACAACATTGATTAAAATCTGTTACTTCCTTAACACATTTTTCTGCTTTGGCTTTTTCCCTCATAAGTTTCGGTATTAATACTTCTGTTTCCACTTTTCTTAATGATCTGTCTTCAGGATCACCTATAAGACAACAAACCTATCACCTATAAGATAACTATTTGCCATAAATATAAAATTTAAAGATCGATGATATGTGAATTACCTAGTCCATGAGGCCCCGCAGAATATTTGTCGGGTAAAACAGACTTTGTTGATACCATAGTTTAAAATGAACTTATCGTTATAAAATGAAAAGTTTTCTTATATAAAATTAAAAATCACAAATGCTTTCATTAAATTCATTCAATGTCAGAATGTCAGTGTCAATCTGTCAATTTTCTAACCGGTCAATTGACATCAATGAAACAAGATTTCGTTTAGGAACCGTTGCTAGTTTTGGTAGAGTAGGACCATGAAAGGCATTTAAACCAATGGCTTGTAATGGGTACTTGTGTTTGATTCGTTTTTGAAAATAATACAGTTGTCACAAGTCCCTTTTAAGTCTTTAAATTGAAAACTCTGGTTGCGATTATCCATGTGGGAATGAAAATGTTTTCTGGGAGTTTCTCTTTTTAGCCTTTGTCACATGTTGTGATAATTGAGTAAAATTATGCATTAAAAGTTAAAAAGCTTAAAAAGTTTCTTAAAATGATTCTTTAGGTAACGTTTTAAATTCCTAATCAATGCTTAATTTCCGATCTCAATATTTTACTGAGGTTAAAATAGATTCAATCAAAATCTTCTTTTATTTTAATTGTAACACAACTCATGAGCTTGCATTTTCAACGTAAGCTGTCAAAATCACTTTTATATGTCATCCATTCCGCATTCTGTAAGATCTTTTGTATCTTTTTAGAAGTTCGTGAATAGTTTATTGTATTGGTGCAGTTTTGTTTCCAGTTTGGAAGGAAATTGTACGTTAACATTACTCTTGGTTTTTGAAGTAAACACGTTTAATTTTACGTAGTATCTTGATTAACTTCTTGTGATTTTTTCTGGTTACTTGGGAATTAGAAGTTTTGAAGAAACAATGGATCGCCTTCTTCGTCTTGGTGGAGGCATGACGGGGCTATCTCAAGCGCCGCCTCCTACCGATGCGCCTGCAGTTGATACTGCAGAACAAGTTTATATTTCTTCACTGGCCCTCTTGAAAATGTTAAAACATGGCCGGGCTGGAGTACCAATGGAAGTGATGGGTCTTATGTTAGGTACAGTTAATTTATACTTCTAGTTAATTAATTGATGTATTTTGTATTGTTTGCAAGACAAAAGTGTAGTGACAACATTTATATATAGGTGTATTGTCGAAAATACCGGTCGACGTGTACTAGATACGCTAAATCAAATTTATCCTTGTCATGCTCATTGGTTTATGTAGTATAGTATATGTTTATTAAAATTTATAATCAAAACAAAGTGTAGGGACCAACAATATTGCAAATTCATTTACACAATTATAAAATGACAAATGCTTGTAATTCCAGGTGAATTTGTGGATGATTACACAGTGCGTGTAATTGATGTATTTGCGATGCCTCAGACAGGGACTGGTGTGTCTGTTGAGGCTGTGGATCCTGTGTTTCAAGCTAAAATGTTAGATATGTTGAAACAAACTGGCCGCCCTGAAATGGTTGTTGGATGGTGAGTATTGAATTTAGAACAATAGAATCTTTTTCTATCCTGTAATAAAAAATAATTCAGCCAAGCGTATTCATTTGAAATATTCTGAGACTGGACACTTTGTTTTAAAAATGTAGTCAATAGTTTTAAAAAAGGTGTTATAATTTATGTTCCAGGTACCATTCACATCCAGGCTTTGGTTGCTGGTTGTCAGGAGTAGATATAAACACTCAGCAGTCATTTGAAGCTCTCTCGGAGCGTGCAGTCGCAGTTGTTGTGGATCCCATACAATCTGTGAAAGGGAAAGTGGTCATAGATGCATTCCGTCTCATCAACCCCAATATGATGGTTCTCGGCCAGGAGCCTAGACAGACTACATCAAACTTGGGACATCTACAGAAGCCCTCTGTACAAGCTCTCATACATGGTCTTAACCGCCATTACTACTCTATTAGTATAAATTACAGGAAAAATGAGCTTGAACAAAAAATGTTGTTAAATCTTCACAAGAAGTCGTGGATGGATGGTCTAACACTGTTAGATTATAAAGAACATTGTTCTGTTAATGAGACAACAGTTTCAGAAATGCTTGAATTAGCCAAGAACTACAACAAGGCTCTAGAGGATGAAGAAAAGATGACACCAGAACAGCTTGCCATCAAAAATGTTGGTAAACAGGACCCTAAGAGACATTTAGAAGAGAAAGTAGATGTCCTCATGTCAAACAACATTGTGCAGAATCTAGGAGCGATGCTTGATACCATGGTGTTCAAATGATTATTGTCAGATATTTTAATTATAAAGTGTTAAGGTGATAATAAAAGTGAAAAATAAAGGAGTACAGTCTCACAGTAATTTTTTATCTCAATTGCTTCATTCGTCAAATGTACATTTTACCATCAATAATTCGTTATTTTAAAGATTATAAAATAAAACTAATACTTTTTCTTGTATAAATATTTTATTTCATTTTTATTTTCACAAGAAAAGTTGTCGAGGTGCTATTTGACTGCATATTGCTTTTAATCTGTTCTGAATTATAGGATGATTCATATTACTAAAATCTGTATCAAACATTGGCCCAAGTTCCTTCTGTGAGTTTACAATGTCTTGAATAATTCTCTTCATCTTTTTGAATGCCAAATCAGGATTGTCCATCGATACCTGTGGATTAAAAAATAATACAAGAACATAAAAGTTAACTAGTTTTCATACATGCAGGCTCACGTCTACAACTATGCTTGAAAGCAGGCACCTAATCAAAAGACGATTGGAACCTTATAATACCTTCAAAAACAACTGAGAGCTTATTGTTAATATTAATAACAAACACTTTGTACAGTAGTTAGATATAGAGACTTAATTTCGCGCGAGTGCAGAACAATTTTAGGTGTAGGGAATAGCTAGATGCATGCAGTGACACTTTGGCGCCGAAATTTCAAAACTATAAAGACTAGTTTTTTAGGTACAAAGTAAATGGGATCACAGCTTACAGTGTTCCAAAACAATCCTGGTATTTTTCTATGAATGTCTTCGTAATCGTCTCGGATGTTTGTAGTGTAAGATTCCGATGGTATCTAAAGTCAAATACGTAACTTTAAAATCTCTGAACGAATCCGTTGTAAGTAACTGTTAAATTGAAATAACGCTTTTTACCTTGTGATGTTCTATTTGTTTTATCAAATAGTCCAATTCGTCTTTATTCTCATGTCCAAGTGTTGATTCCGCTGTTAAAAATATTTTTTTAATTTAAGCATCAAAAATAATCGTTTAAAATATTCATAACAACTACATTCCGTTTTACAATAAAGTCATGTTGCATTTGATAGATTTTTCCGACTATCTTTTAAAATAATTTGAAGAAAAGAACAAAACAAAAAGAAAAATACTAACACGGTTCCAAAGCTATTTCACTGGCTTGTAGAAGTCCTGCATCGACTAAGAAAGCGAGCCATATATCAGAGTCATGTGCATCCAACTCGGGATGTAAATACGAACAGATCTTCGTACTTATTGATCGGCCAGATTTTGTATATTCTGCTGCTGTTAGGGAATATTTATTATGAAAAAAGGTCCATGGCGAGTATGTTTATATAGGGAATTGGACTTAAATGGTCAGTTTGACGCGCAAAATACGCGGCATGTAGAGTTCAGTAATGTGGTCAGCTAAATTCAGGTATCATTTGGTAATATATTGTTGTATCTATACTTCTATATTAATCTAATAAATCGTAAACATACACTACTTTGTGGCGTAAAATGTCAGCAATCACAACATTTTTTTTTGAATACTTCTTTAATTAAAATCCCTACACTCACGTCACGCTTTAGGCTCTATATTTTTACGGTATTAAACTTAGTGGGTACCTAAATACATTGGATAAAAACCTTTTTGTGGGAAAGGGACCATAAACTACAAGCTGCCAATATCAAGGAAGTAAGATTGCCATGGTTTGCCATCATGACATGTCATTATGACATTTGCAATTGATAATTTGACAAATGTAAACAATGTAATATTTATAATTTCATGCAAAGGAAGCCGCACGGGAACAGCTAGTGTTTAAATAATTACGATCAATATCGGGTTGAGGTTCGATTATCAGTCCGGACGTATCTGGCACATGTTCATCTATGTCCTCGATGTCTTGCGACGTGAATGTAACTGACTTCGATGATTTCGTGCTACCATACACAACCGCTACTCCTCCTATACAAGAACAGTTAACAATTAATTGCTAATTAGTAATTTAAGTACATATTTTTATTATCACAATAAATTATTAGTATAGCAATAAGTGTTTGAATTTATTTGTTTCTTTAATGCCCTGTAAATCTTTATTCATACCTTTCCAAGTGGATGAGGTGTACTTCGTAAAATCCACACTTTTGTTGACATTCGACTGCTTATCGCCTTTTTGGATTGTTCCTCGATGCTCAGACCTGAAATAACTTATGTCTGTTTGTAAACCCACTCCACAATTTTAAGAAAATAAAAAATAATGTGAAAAGGCGTAACGGCCGCCATGTATGGAATTTTATATACATGTTTATTTCATTTGAATTTTTAATCTAAACTTTACTGAATATTTAAATCTGGCAATCAGGTATCCGTTGAACTTTTTTTTATATATCGATCAAAACCGTATCAAGTCCAAGTAACAAATGAAAGGTCAAAGAAACCTTTTAGAATTCTTGTCCTGAAAGGACAGCTGTCCATCTGCTTCGCTGACGTATTCGCCGGTGCCTTGCGACTTGTACAAGGAGTACATGCTGGTGCCGCCTGCCCCGTTGTTTGTTTCCACTTTCTTACCATAACCTCTAAACGAAGAAGAACTCTGAAATAAAAACAATATGTTCATTGCGCGCCTAACATGTAAAATGTTATTCGTACTGCTTATGACATTTTTAACTATATTGCTTCTTGATTTTTCAACATCGATAAATGAGTTATTACATTTGACTATATATAATTTAATTTATTAGTAGTTTGTCGATAATGCTATTCGTAGTCTAACCATTAGTTCACAAAAGATAGGTTGACTTAAAGCTCTTATGGTAATATATTACCTAGAGACAGTTTTAGTAGTCACCACATGCTGTCATTTGGGAATAATATATTACTCCAACTTAAAGATGTCGTAGTCAAATACGAGCAAAGGCGGAGAATAGTTCTCACGGAACATTGAGTTATTTGGTACCTAACTCTATTGATTCTCATCGATTGAGTTTATAAACTTTTTTTATCTTACTAATATTACAAATGCAAAAGTTTAGATGGATGGATGGTTGTTTGTTAGACTTTGTAGCCTAAACGGCTGAACGGATCTCTATGAAGTTTGGCATAGACGTGGAAGACAGTATGGAACAACACATAGGCTACTCGCTTTTGTTCTTTTTTAATTCCACACGGACGGAATCGTAGGGCAAAAGCTAGTAACCTATAAATAAATCGATAATTTTGAACAGGTTGTAAAGGGCGAGAATCGAAATGACTAGATTTCACGTCATATACAATCGAATAAAACAAAACTGTTTTTAAAACAAAATTTTTGTGTATGAAATTTCGATATTGTTTTAACAGATATGCATCTGATTAAAATTTGTTATAATGTATGTCTTAGAGAATGATATATCTGACAACAGGTTTTAGAGGTTTTTTTTTGGTTGTGAAATACCAATGTCAAATTGTGTAAGACGTACTAAAGTCATTGTCCCGAATTTATTAGCAGCTTTATGTACTTTATCTTCATCATGTTTGGTTTCGCTGTCAACCTTAAGCGAACATTCCGAGGCCAATAAAAATTCACTATGATCTTTCACATCCGGCAACGCCTGTAAAATACGGACCAATAACAAACAAGAATATCTTTAATTAATTAATTAAATGTCTGTTTAAAAGTATGTTACCAAAATGATTTCATTTAGAATCCCAGTTATTATAATCCGTCCAGATAATAGTATTTGTAACGTAGATATTTCTTGCGGCAGCATCATTGATAGTTTCTTTACGTTATCCGCGTTATGCGCTCTGTTAAATAAAACTATAATATTATTTAGGCATTTTGTGTAATGTTGAAATCACATCATTGGCAATGCAAATGTTTTTTTTTTAAATTAGGCTACTTTAATATGTGACGATTACAACCATAGCAAATATGTAGAACAGTAATGGAAAACAAAACTTAGACATACTCCTTTCTCTCTTGTTGTCTTTGAAACAGTGCAGATTTATCTGAACATGACGCCAAGATTAAATATGGCCGTCGTCCTCGCTGTTTCAACATTAGGCCACTAATTAAATCCATTGTCACAAGTCGTACTTTGCCCTTATTCACATACGCTTCTTCGCGACCTGAAATGCACATGTGTTTTGAAATCTGATTTCCTTGATTTGTAAATAGCAATATTTTTTAAGCATTGATAGGTTTTCATGTCAATTTATTCACTATGATTTAAATATTCCTACTTCTACCATTGATACTATTTGGTGTGAGTAAACTAAATAACATGATTTACAATTGAAAGTATAATTTGGACAGTAATTTTGAAAATACGGTGAAAAAAGAGTGTGTTAGTAGTGTAGAACCCATTAATTGCGGTAGTATTTTCTTGTGCTATTGTTAATTAACCCACCATATTTCTCATCCCAATCGGATTAAAGGAAGACAGAATTATTATTATTATTCATATTTCCCGCAGCTTATTACATCCCGAACGTGACGGGAGTCTATTGACGTCAAATTATTCCCGCCCAAAATGCCTACTGTCGTGCGGTCCCCGCATTTGCAAATATTCCCTCTGAATGCGGATTAACTCTTTGTATTCCGTTCTTATTAACTTATTCTGTTATTTGTATTCCATTTACAAATATATGAAAATGTATTTGCGGTGTTTGCTTTTGATTACGTAAATTTTTAACATCCAACATTTCGGTGTTTAACATATTATATAAGAGTAGGGAAACATTACACCTAAAGTCTTAAAGCACGCGCACACCTTGGACTAAAATATCGCACAACTGTTAGGTCTCGCTTTGATTTCTATGAGTTTATATGGAGGTGCGCACTCTATTTGATTTTTAGTTGTGCAACTAAACAGTTGAATTAGCTGTAAAACGATCGACAATCGCACAACATTTGTGCGATAGTTTAGTCAAAGGTGTGCTCCAGCTGTAAAAGAAGATATAAAGATGTATAAATGTTACTTAGCCCATATGATTCTCCGTCTTTTTCGCTGTAAGTCAGGAACTCTCCAGCAATTATCATATCATCGAATTTTTTCCTCGTCACAGTTATATAGTGATCGGAGTAGTGGTGTGTTGCTGTTGTGTGTTGTCGTCCTAATTCTATGTTAGAACTGCATTCTTTGACGAGACGTCGAGCGAGGGTACCTGAATTAATGCAGACAGCGTTGCATTTTAATTGATCGAGATACATCAAATATTAAAAAACATTGGACCACATGAGACAAAGGTATTGTAGAGGCCGACAGATTCGTCTGTTGGCTTTAATTTTAGCCATAAGGCCAAGTGATTTTTAGTTGTGCCACGCTTCTTACTTTTACCAACAGCATCGTAGCCCACAATGACTACCAGGGGAACGTCCGTGGTATCAGCCGGAGGTGTGAAAGGCGACACGCAAGCCTTCGATAGCTGCTCTATGTACAATAGTCGGAGTAAACGACGCGAAGCGAATATTCTCACGTCAGCCATCATTTGAATTTTTGAATATTGCTAAAAACATGACAATTATAAAAAAGCGAAAAGAAACAACAATACAAGAACAACAGATGAGATGTATGGATATAAATAAAATTGGTTACATAAACAGATTACATATAGCATGGAATAGCAAATAGTTCCTGTGGGATAGAGTTGTATTTGTTTTTGTAGCAACTACTAAAACTATTGGAAATAATAGCAGACGATATCACAGGCGTCAGTTAATCGACTTATTTAAAACGGAGGAAATACAGCACCTGTTCAATAGGGTCGATGGCTTCGCCGTCAAGATTGATGAGATTTGGAAAGGAAATGTAGATGACATCCTTGTAGCCAGGAGTAGAGCATACGGGGTTGGATCGCAGGTCCAAGATGATCAGGCGGCGCATCTGACGGAGGTACACCGCCAACTCCAGAAGTACACCGAGTCTAGATTTTTTTGGTTAAGCTTGAAGCTAGGTTTCTAATTGTCAAGATCTCGGTGCGTTCCTAGAAAATCCCGGAACGCTCTCTAGGCGCACTCTAGGGTAGTCTACCAAGGGGTTCTCGAGGGTCGAGTCTCAAATAACCCTGTTTTCTCTTATATAAAACAGAAATCAGAAGGCCTTAGTTCTTTTAAAATTTACTTCCCAATACAAAATTTTTAATCAGCGTCGAAAGGTGAATTCGGGAGCAGGACAATCACCTTAATGTTCTTAAAATAACAATAAACATGGCCTTTAAATTTACCTGTTGTTCCGCGCGTACAATTCACGTAATCTGTATAATGGAAAACACACTTAGAAAATTCTAGAAGATGTTTTAATTGAATAGCATTTATAATGAAATCCAGACGGTATAAATTTATTACTAAGCAAAATTATTAAGCAAATACAGTAATACTCCGTTACTCAGTGCCATCACCTTCGAAAATTCCCCAGAAGAAAATTTATTTGATCTAATTTCAATTTAAGTAAAAGCACTCTTCGCAAATCATTTAGAGTGCCTATCGTGGGGCTTTTGGTCCGTATTTTTCACCTAAAAATCTTTTTGATTTGATAACCTCTACACATTACAACATACTACGAAAAATACATTTTTTGTAATCGTATAAAATCCATATAGGCGCTTTCTAATTTTTAAATGATAATTTATAACCTAAAAATACAATAACCTGGTACAGCCAGAAAACATCTTCATACATATCAGATTGTTTTCGCTTATATTCAAATACTTAAGATCCAGAAGGGTCCATAGGCCGGTATTTTGGCTGAACTCAAAGCTCGATATATTATTGTAGGACAGATCTAACCACAACAATCTGAGGTGGTTTAAATTTTCGAGTCTCTGTATGTGGTTAAAGGATAAGTCTAAATGACGTAAATATCTGGAACAAAACATTTACACTGAAAGTTATTTAACTAAATTAAAATTAAAAAGGTTCTACTTTTCATGTTCCAATTATTATTTATTCAAATTTAATCGATTAATATCAGGCAATCACGACGAACTATGAGACAGTTTGTCGGATCCGATGGTTAACATAGATGTATTTTTTAAAAAATAAAAAATATGAAATAAAACTGTGCAATAATTCCACAGCTATTGCACACAGCGGAACGTATGGCACTTTGTGACGTGCACGGACGATTGCGAACGCCAGAGGAAATTGGCAACGTGTTACTGCAGAAAATTTACCCATTTTATTCAGGAAATCGACATATCTTCTATATTCAAATTGTACATATTCATAGTTATGGATTCATATTTGACTTTATACAAGAGGTTTCAAGGGTTAAATCGTTCAGTAAAATAAAATCCCTACTAGCGTTAACAGTCACTTGTTTTCTGTCCTTAAAATCATACCTTAGATTTTCAAATCCACTGATACGTTTTATATTATTATGCGACAAGTCCAAGACAGTGATCGACCAAAACTCACTCAGGTCTCTTATTCTTATTATTGAATTGTATTTATAATGTACTTCAGTTAAAAACCATTGCGCTGTAATTATAATTAACATTAGATATGCTAAAGAAGTCATTAACGTGTACGATCGGTTGTATGACAAAAATATCTTGGATACTTAGAAATTCTATTGCAAGAATTCCGGTTATTACAACTTTAATAGCGACGAGAGAAAATATAAATAAGCTTTTACATTTTTTAGCTTTAAATTGTATACTCGGTCTTCAGCTTATTATAGTCTATATTCAGCGAAATGCGGGCGCAGAGCTGCTCAAAGGAAACTTACGAGTTTCGTAGTTAAGAACAGTATTCAGTCTGTTAAAAGATACGGAGAGATACTGCAGATATGGCAAGTAAGATAAAACAGACAAATCCGTTAAGAAGTTCGACGACAGATCGAGATATACCAAAAACTTGTATTGTTTAAGAATATCGATATTTGTTAGAGTCTGAAACAAAACGCACACCTTTTAATTAGTTTCTTTGTATACTCTTTGATCAAATACAAAGAGTAACGAGCTTTTTAAAGTGATTTAAAACTTTATCATAGATAGTAGCTTTATTGTTTTATTTTTATCACTCCTCGTGTTGTGTTTTATCTTTTTTTGCTTGTGTAAGGCTACTATGTTCTAGATTTACCTTAGTTTTCTACATCATAGTAACTACACCAGTTATTACTCACGCCGCATACCTAGTTGGATATATATGTTACAGTGTGTTTGCATTTATTCTTACCTTTGATGAGAGATCCAGTTTTATAAAAACAAAGTCTCCTAACAATGGGATTCGTTTCAAATAGCTGAGGCAGGCTCCAACTAGTTCGTGCGTCAGTACACCTCCCGGTACTTCCGGCACGTCCTCTGGTTTCTTCACACGCACCACGGGGGAATACATGTCGGAATATAATTCCGAAAATGGATAAAAACATCCCCAAAATTGGTCTTCATTCATCAAATTCGTTACGTGAGGAAAGTACTGAAATTACAAGACGAAATAATCATGTATTTGCTATGTTATATTTTTTATTAGCTTACGTTATTTCTTATAAAAAAAATGTTTGAGAGTTAATATGTACCTGTTCTTTGACCATTTCTTCAACTGCCTTAGTCTGTGGAGCAACTGATTCTTGTGAAGGAGTTCTATGTCCAAAAAGAAGGTCATTGCGAACTTTAATACTTTCCGCTGAAAATAAATTTTAGAATGTTGAAGGGCAACGGGTGTTGCATATTACGTTTAAAATTTGCTACACATTCGAGTCTTTATAAACGATATTGCGGTTAATATCAATTTGTTTAATTTTGTTATTAAATAATGATGCCTCACTTAAATTCTTTCAAAGTTATTCGCGAAAAATCTCATCAAAGTGAGGTGTGGAGTGCGGGGAGATACGACATAACGAACACGTCAGTTTTGGATAACGCTCTGCTTCAATGTAACTTAAAACTAACACTAGCTTACATACTTAAAGAAATATGAAGTTCCCCACCTCATCTCCAGGGAAGCAAAAGAAAAAAAAATAATAAGAAATACATTTTTTTTACATACTTGTAACAACAGTAATAATAATAGTAGTAACCTACAAATATAAGCTCTTAAGTTGGCACATCGGGTAGAATGATAATCTTGTTGCCGACGTGCCAAATCAAATTTCGGGTACTATAATTGAATTTATGAACTTACCGGATAAGCTACTATCTTGCTGCCTCAGATAGTTGATTCGACAGATATCTGAGGCCGTGCGTATGATTTCTGTTTCAGAAAAGGTCTTATTTATGTTAGCGAAATCAAATAGTGTCAATTTCTCAGCGCTTGAAAGTATTTCGGGTACCGTTGTTTCTTCACTGAAAGTTCTTGTCGATTTATATTCATCTTCCCCTTCTACAGTACTTGTTTCCATTTTAGTAACAGTTATTTCTGATTTTATTAACAGAATTCGATTTATAATCGCTAAATTATATCTGTCAACTTGACAAACTGATGTTTAAATACGACAAGCCATTGTCATAAACAATGTAGTTTTTTTATGGAATAAGTTGTAATGAGGTTTTAATACGTTCGGACTCGTTTGTACTTAATCCATTTCTAACCTGTAAAATAACAGAAAATATTTTTAATGTTGATTTCTATTAAGTTAATTTACACAACATAAATACTTCATCCCAAGCTGCATCCAAGATGAATTGGTCTTATCAAGATTAAAAGGATAACCTTATTTATTTATACCTGCAACTGTCTAGCGCCTGTTGGCTGTTAGTGCAATAAATTGTGTCGCAATATTTTAGGATAGTCTGTTGTCAGTTGCATTTGTGAAAAAAGTTTACCCGTTCAGATTTTTGGCGGCACATTTTCAATTTTATTTTCCCTATCAATGACGAAAGAACTAATTACATTTTAAACAACTATGTTAAAAGGTAAATGTTTGCTTTAGAATTCCGAAGTCGTTTTCTAACCTTATTTAATGTATAATACAAAATGTGAGGTTTGTTTATTCTGATAGATTCAATAGGCGACGTTTTATTACCTTATAATGTAAAGACGAATGTTTGCTGTCTGATCCTTTGATATTGATCTGACAGAAGGATAATCAACATTTCTATTTGATTTCTCGTATATAGTAATATGCTATACTTAAATTATGTTTACTAGCTGCTGCCCGCCACTCCAACCGCTCTAAATTAAAAAAAAAAACTCAATACCCGATGTGTTCTTCCATACTATGCTCGAATTCTATGCCAAACTGCAGCGGGATTCTTCTACCTGTGGTAAAGATACTAATACAAATAACAAACATCCATCTAATAATATTAGTGAGACTAATTAAAAAACCTAGATATCCCGAATAATTATAGTTTAAATTAAATATAGTTAAAATTTCGCGGCTAAGGTTATTGCGGGTAGCCGGGAAATTTCTATTTTCCGGCACTAGTGGGTAGTTTTGAATTCCTTTCTAGTATGGTCGGGCGAAGGCGTGTAAAGTGTTGTGCTGGTGCAGTAAAGTGTCGAGTTGAAACAGCTCAGCGAATCGGTCAGTTACAGTGTGTGAGTTCCAAAGGTCGCCAGAAGTGGTTGCTTGTCCGACATCGCGAAAGACAACGGGTGACAATAACGGTGCATACGGGTGAATCTGTGGGAAGCATCGCCGGCGCCTACCTACAGGTGGTGAGTCATGCGTCGAGTAGGTAAGTACCACTTTATTTTCCATCATTCCCTTGTTTACAACTTTATACCTTCTGTTGCATGCGTTTGTTTGAGGGTAGGTTGTGCCTCGGGACCTGAAGCCGTCGTGTTCGGCAAAACTGCTAACACTCTAGGGAAAAATCTAACAAACATTGAGCATTTTTATGTCACATTTATATCAACTGATTGTTTTTATACCTTGTATAATAGACCAGTATATTAACAGTGTCAATCCGTGGATATCCACAAAATAACCTATAAATTGTTAAAATAATTTTGTTCTCTATCTATTAAGCTCCAATTTAGCTAATTGTCTCTGGAATTATTAACATTTTCGAAGTTTAGTGAAAACGTTTTAGTCTTTCGTTTTTCTTATTTTGTATTGCGTTAAAAATGAAGTTGTGTTCAATACCGTCAATCGACGAATAGAAATGTTTGCTCGAGATTTTCAATCTATTTCGCAACGAAAAATGATATAAAATATTTCTGTATTTTATACAATAAAAGCAAGCACACATTTGACCTATTTTCAATAATAGTAACCGAAATTGATAAAACGTTAGTGGGTTTGAGTAATTTTTTTTCATGAAAAGTCTGGTATTTGGTTTAAACATAATTTTAGTTTTATGTGAATTTATAAATTCATTTAAAAATATACTTCATAATTTAAAACATTTTTGATATACTCTAATTAAACACGGTTTTGTCTTCTGTTTTTATTTTGTATTTTATTATTTCTATTTGTGATTTAACTTGTTTAGTTAATGGAGGCAGATAACTATATCACAAAGGTATCTGGGTCAGTCAGAGTAAAATCCGACCTAGTACGGGGTTCGTGTTCCAAGTTCCGCATACAAAAGATATGTGAAGGTGACAGCTTTTCACTTTAGTAGTTTTTTTGTTGTACAAAGGGAACAAGAATTGCGACCACTTTGACCCATAAACATCAGCTATATGTATAATCTAATACTTTTCTAGATCCTGTAAGAACTGAAAATTCAGGTAATTTTTTGCATGTAATGTTTTAGGTTACATTTCCAGCAAATGCATTAATTTCAATCTTCATTGGCGGTGAAACTTTTAATGTTGGATGTAGGTTTTACAATATCACCAATATATCGGATACATGTATGATTTTCCGGCCCAATTATTTTGTGAATGCTTTTTCGCTGACCATTTCGCGTCGCTCGCGTTGACAGTTGCTAACGAAGCTAACGAACAATTTGATAGCTTAAATGGCTGCGATTTTTTTAATAATCCCCAACGTCATACCGTTTTCGAAAAGTTAGTTATGTGTGTGTTGATGATGTGTAGTGGTTGTTAACGCTTTTTTTTCTGCTTTTTGTTATTGTTATCAATCGATTCAGATTAAGACCGAAGAGCAATTATAATCATGTTGTACACAAATAGTTTTATTGAAATAATTTAGATATTTTTATGTGTTAAGTATTTTAGGTTATAAAAACTTTGTATTTTTTTTGTTAGATCCCACTTTCATTTTCGTAAAAAAAAGTTAATGGATGACTCAAGTTTTTTTTTTGCATTTAGAACTCTTATTAAAATATGAGTATAGAGCATAATATTTTAGGTCGCTCTCTGCTTTTAGACTATGTGCTTATTTCATGACCCCTAGGGTATTTCATGAGTGTGCTGATATTTCGTATGAAAATTAAATACCTTAGCTCACGAGGAGTTTTGGCTTGCTTCTAATTAATTACTTACTATGGCCGACAAAGTGAATTTCAACCTTTGCTGGGAATGATTTTATATTCAATAATGTGTAGTAATTTTAATTACGATAGACAATGTTAGGTGAACTAAATTCTATCTGTTTAATACGATTAATTACAAAATCTTTTTTATCAGGTTGCCTGGTCAGTGCCTTCTTTTACCTTTAAGTGTAAACATTTACGCATCGAGACATAACTATATTGGTTAATGCTGAGAAGTTACATGAAGCTAATCTAAGTTTGTTATATGTTACTTGGTTATCAAACTACGAAAACAGATATCAAAGACTACGATGAATGTTGAGGTACGAGAGTTTTGAAATCTAAAACGGATTTACAGAACTCGATTAAATGTGGCACAGATATAGAACTGGAAGAACATACTAAGTTTTTTTTTTTAATTATACGCGGAACCGGTCGTGGGTAAAAGCTAGTATATATGTGGAAAGCGTTGTCACCCTAACTCGGGGTTGTTTCCCTTTGATATATTCCCTATGTAAAAAAAAAGTTTCATACAAGTGGTGTCCATTTTGAATTAATCAAATATACGAACTTAAATTTCCAATTTTACGCACTGTTGGTGGGGTTTACCAAAAAACAATTATGCGGATGTGTACTTGGTTGTATTCATAATTATAATTGTTTAAAATAATTGAACAAGGCACGCAAATGTAGTTATTAATTGCGTCAAATATTAATTAACTATGATATAAGTATCGCTTTGATTTCTGGTATAAAAAAACGTATTCTTTCAGTATTTGGATTATTAAATGTAACAAATATTTATGAATAATAATTAAACAAATATTTTACTCAATCATTTATTGGAATAAAAACATATTACAAATTTGTGATGATAATAAAAGTGATCGTGAGAATTATTGAAAAAACTGTGCATAAAACAACGTAACTATTGCTATTCAGATTCAAGCTTATAATACATACAATTTTATTATTTGATACATTATTCAACGGAATATTCTGTGAAACTCTAGAAGTAGATTTTTTTATTTCTGGATTTTATTACAACGACCAGATATCGGAGGAACAAATCTTTTCTCACAAAACAACGTTCATCTGATCGATGTATGGTCATCTTAAATCAAAAACATAATTCTAAATATCTATTTTAAGCTTCTAAATGTATAACTTTCTGAAATTGTAATAATATAACTAAATAGGTCGTGACCAGACCAACGAATTTAAACGGAAGAGACGTGTTTAAATCAATCATGCGAAATACTGAGAATGATAGAGTTCGGACTTCAGTCAATGTTGCGAAGTAACCGGCAATACTGCGACTTGGTTTATCTGAAAATGAAGACATTCAACACATTTATTATTAGACAGGACAACACGAACCAATACATAACTTAAGAGCGATGGATGAGTCTGTTTTGACACGTCTGCATATGAAGTGGGATTTGTGTGACTGACGTTTGCTTATTGTTTATTGTGATTAAAACATACATGTACATTTAAAAAAATTAAAATATAGGATGCGTTACATTGCAATGGTGAATAATTGTTTTTTAATGTTTTTTTTTCAATATATCGATCTAGTGGGACAAACTTATTTGGCACGAGAAGAGAGGCGCTATTGTGTTTTGTTCTGTTTTCACATTTATCTATTGGCGAGTAAAACATTCTTATCAATTTTCAGCTCTACGCTATTTATTGTTCCTTTTCATGTCTGAATTTAATGGCTTATAAAGATATTTTCTAAAGTTATTACTAATGCTAATAATCGTGTATTTTTTTTTCTGAAAATGTAGTAAAGATTAGAAACCAACCAAAAACGTTGTTAAATATTCTTGTATGGAGAGAAGCCCTCAGTTGCTGGACTTCAGTATGTATTTTTTCACAGAATAAACAAGGGATTATCACCGGTGTTATTTCAAACGATATTACCGAAATATCAAATAACGCGTTCTTCACAGTATACTGGAAACAAAAATTTAATTTTAAAGTTTTAATTAAAAAAATTCTAGAAAAACATAATTAAATTTTGAAATTATTATCTTTGTGTTTTAGTAATGCTACTAATTTAAGAGTAGC